TTGATAACTCTAAACTGAAGAGGAAAATCCAAGAACGAAGACCTGGGAAAGGTGTGATCATGCCACGCCCACAGCCCTTTTTCACATTACTATGAAAAAAATGACTCATCCTATGGAATGAGCTTTGAGCTTTGAAAAGAAAAGAAAAAAATTAGCTCAGATAAGTGAACTGCTAGAAGTTTAACAGCCTTACCCACCACTTACCCCTACTGTCCCAGTTTTTAATTTGAATTTGCTTCCTCCTTTCATGGCACCAAAGAGAGGCAATGTTAGCTTTTTAGCTTTGTTTTCAGCATCTACAACGTGACTTTCAGTCCTAGAAAGAAAGAATAATTATACACACCTATTCCAGTGAGGCCAAGAATTTATCTAAAAACACCATGACACTGACAAAGAAACTTTTAGCAAAACAAAAATTTCTACAAAATGAATATTAAGCACATACCCATATGAAGAGATATTCAGGCCAGCAGAGTTTGAATGGACATGACACTACGATTGTTACAGACATAGAGTTATTAAGGGCAAGACGAGGCTCCTACTTAGTCATTTACACCATGCTACAGGATTTCACATTCATAAAATGATGCTTACAGAACAAAGGCCACTGGCAATATGTAAGCATGACCCCCTCCCCACTAAGTGCAGGAGATGGATCCATGGTGTAAAGCCCCATTTTCACAAACATATGAAGAGGACTCAAAAGGCCTTATTTACCTGGAGTCCACACTTATAAACACACATAACAGCTCTGAGCAAAGAAGTTTAAAAAAAAGTGTGTGTGTGTGTGTCCGTGAGTGTATGTAGGGAGTAGTAGGCAGGATACCCTTTGTAGGGAGTAATGACAAAAACATAATAATAGACCCTACAATAATGAGTTTATCAATGTCCTCATTGGCTAGACAAAGTTATAAAAGCTAAGCCCACTAGGGTGAAGCTGAGGAAGGGCAAAATGAAGAGATTGTAGAAATTAGAAGAAAAAAAAGACACACAGAGAAAAAAAAAAAGAATGGCAGTTGAGTGGACAAGGCACTCAGAGAGTACACGGAGGTGACAATGACATCACAGGACAGCCCTGGCACTCCTGACTCCAAGTAACCCGTTCAAGAAACTGACGACGCTGCTCTGCCCGTGAAGCCCCATTTGCCACTACTGTCTTCTTTCACCTAAGTCTTACCCCTTCAGTGGTACTCCTGGGTCTAGTCTCAAGCCTTTTCTCTCTACCAGAGACAGACCATTGCCTTACTAAGGCCACAGGTCCTGCCTGCCTGGCCCTAAAGACCCTTTGCCGAATCATTATCCTTCACAACCTCTCCCCAGGCCTCAGGAAGGTGCTGACATAGAAAGACAAAGGCAAGAGCAACAGTCATTTCATTTTGCAGCTCCATTAATTAGCTTGACTGGCCGGCCTGGAGGAGGTACAAAGATGCCCAAAGGAGATAGCAAAGCAGAAGGTGGAATCACAGTCAAGAGTTGTTCCTGTGGGGGACGGTGGAGTTTGATAAAGTTTGGAAGTTCACCCTCAAGTGATAAGAGGAGGGGAAGATCCACAGCACCTGAGGGCCACCTTGGAAAGTAGAAAAGGGAGGGGAAACTAGAAAGACACAGACAGCAGGGGGAGGCCCTGGAGGAAGCCCACACAGTCTCCTAGTCTGAACAACTGGACGGCTGACTTACCAAGTTAAAGGGTTACAGAGTTGTAATTAAAACTCACTGTTAATTTGTTCACCCTGGACTATGTCGCCTGAGTTTTTACCCTTTTTCCACAAAAGTGATGTTACAAATAGTTGCTAGGTGTTAAAGAAACAGTAAAAATTACAGCAATGATGGCAACAATAATACATGCCAGCACTTTAAGTGCTATTCATTTCATCTTTGCAACATCACTACTTCTAGTTTACTGATGAGGAAAGCAAAACCCAAAAAAGTTAATTTGCCTCAAAATGCCCAAAAAGTAATCGACAGAGCTGAGAATGAAACCCAAGAAGTCTAACTCTAGTGCGAACCCACCACCTCAATATCGGTAAGGTAACTCAAATATCATTTGGGTCAAGTAGAATTTTGTGAGCTGATCTATGAATCACTGTATTAAATATCCAAACAACACATAAATCTTTGAATAAACCTGCTAGTAATTTGAGGATAGGTTTTCTGTATACAGATAGATACATCAAGGGCTCCAGAAACATTCTCTCTCTACATCTCTATAAGAAGAGGTGCCTCTCAATATCTAGATACTCTTCTATGCAATGCCCCTAGTGCCAAGTGCAGGTTTTGTGCTCAGGGTTGAGGGGCTGAATAAATGCTGACAATATAAAGCAGCACTGTCCAATACAGAACTTTCTGCACTGATGGGCATGTTCTGTATCTGTGCTGTCCAATATGGCAGCCACTAGTCACACACGGCTACTGAGCACATGAAAGGGGCCTCGTGTGACCGAGGAACTGAATTTTGAATCTTATTTAACTGAAATATCACATGTGACTATTGGGTGCTAACCAGATGGCACAGATCTAACTACCCTCATGAGTGAGTGAACCCACCTAGGCAATGCCACTTTCTGAGATGTCCACCTGGTTTCTGCGCACTAGGGGTTGCTATTTCTAAAACAACCTACTCAACATTTTGAATATTTGTTGAGACCACACAGAATAAATCTTTCAAAAATACTGTCAACTTGAAAGACTGGAACAGAGACTTGACTTGGGGTGGTGAACACACAATACAGTGTACAGATGATGTGTTGTAGAATTGTGCACCTGAAACCTATATAATTTTGTTAACCAGTGTCACCCCAATAAATTCAATAAAAAGAAAAAACAACAATAAAGAAAGACTGGATCTCTTTCACACACACACACACACACACACACACACACACACAAGCCAACTCTGGGAAAAATTAGTCTCAATTATAATTACTCAAAAATCTTCTAGATGTCTGCAAATGGATTTGGATTAATATCTTCCAATAATCTCCAAAAAATCAAAGGTCATAATAGAATCAGCTTCAGGGGATTATGCTTTCTCCCTTTTTAAAGGAAGAAATTACCCTTTTAAAAAAGTATTTTTATTAAACAGTTTTCATCTGGTTCTTAGGAATGAGAGACACAGGTGTTAAAATGACAATCTGTGTGAGCACACAATGCATTAAACAGATGATGTGTAATAGAACTGTACACTTGAAACTTACATTAATTTAATTTAGAAATACATTTTTAATAACAGTCTGAATTCATATTTTTCATCTATGGTTTTAAAATCATAGATATGGCATTACATTATAGTATTTGCATCTCTTATATGAGTAAGGTTGAGCATCTTTTTATATAGTTAAGAGCTATTTGTGTTTCTTTTTCAGTGGCCTGTCAGTTGACATCCTTTGCCCATTTTTCTGTTGGGTGAATGGTTGTCTACTTATCATTCATTAGTCTTTACATATTAGGGAAATTAGCCTTTTGTACATGTTGCTCTTTAAAGAAGTTTACACTAAATGATGAAGTATAAAATTCAGAGCCTTCCAATGAAATAGGTATCAATAGTTTCCTCTAAAAACCTGTCGGAGTCTGTATTTCACAAATGAAATGGGTTTTTAGTTACTCTATGAAACCACTGCAGTCTGTGCTTTAAAGGGTTTCTTATATTCTATTTCTATTCAAAAATGATTATCTAAAAAGTTAAAAATGTAATTCAAAATGTTATCTATGCAAACATGCTTACTTAAAATTCCAAGTACATACCGTGGTGATCACCTCATAAAGTATATAAATGTTTAATCACTATGTGGTACACCTGAAATTAACCTAATATTGCATGTCAAGTGTAACTGAAAAATAAAAAAAAATTTTAAAACACAAATAAATAAATAATGATTATACAGAAAAATAAATTTTTTTAAATAACATTTCAAGTATAACTAACACTTACTTTTTTAGTTCTGGAATCTCTGCTGGCTTTACAATTTTTATCAACCCTTTAAGTCTCTGTTGTTCTTTCCTCAGTTCAAAAGTTCTCAGGTGAAGTTTCTTCCGGGACACACCATCTAATGCACTCCCTGATTTCATTTCCGACATGAACGCATCTAAAGAGTCCTGAGATGGTGACTCTGACAGAGCTGCCAGGAAAGGGATAATATATGTTTAGAAAGATGGTTGCAAATGTTTTAAAATTCAGACGAAGTTTCCATAGAAAAGCCACTAACATAGAGCTGGACAAAGGACATTACTGATACTAGGAATAAGGAAACAGTGGAATGTCACCTTACCTCATTCCTCTCATCTATTAAATAAAGAGGTTACACCAATTAACTTATAATGTTCTTTCTAGCTCCTTATAAAGGCTCCATATTCTGATATATCTTATTAACCAATGTAGCCCAGCGGCTAGCATAGTGCACTACATATGGCTGATGCTCAATAAATAACTGTTTAATGAGTCATTGCTTTACCTTTGCTTGAGGCTTTCAGTCTGTCAGAAATGTCAGAGAGTTCCCTTTCAGCATCATTTAACTTTGCAACCTGTAACGCCCAAAGCAACAGTGTTAGCAAATGTCTTTCTTTTTTCAAAATATGGTAGCTTTCTCCTCTTTTCACTACTGTTATACATTTTAAGAGGATTAATTTGAAGTCCAGTTAAGTCTGTTCTTTATGGAGTTAACATTTTTCATCTGTTTATTTAATTCTAATTGAATTAATTTCTGAATTAAAGAACTCACAATTAAACAGAATAAATGTACAGAACACAGACTTTATTTTACTCAAAAGAAACGGCTCAAGGTATTTGCTTTCAATAATAAATCAAAAGGATAGACGCTGGGTAATGTTTAAAGCTCTAAATACTACTTAATATAGTGAAAACACCTGCTACCTTATAATAATTTCATGAAGGATACACTGTTTAAGACTATTATCAAATTACAAAAAAAAAAAGAAAAAGACTATTATCAAATTACACTCCTCAAAATTCCTTTCATGATTTTTGACTGCCAGAAGCCTAAAGTCAATTTCACCTCAGGATGTTACAATTTAAAACTTTTTCCTTTCTTTTGTGGAGGGTAACATCATTTCCAAAGAATGCTCACTAATGGACCAATATTCACGCAGAGGTGGAGAGAAACTAGCAGCAAGCCAATCTTTTTCCCAACTTGCATAAGACTGATTATTTGTAACCATCAAATCTGCAGATAACAAAAGTTATACCTCAGTACCAGATTTCAATGCTGTTGCTTTAAAAGTTATAGTTAGAAAAAATTTTAAATAATACATTATTTTATTTAAAAAATTAAACTACTGCAGCTACTTCTATAAATAAAACTTGCCAGCGATTCAAAGGTCTCTGGCTTCTCATCGATCTTCCCAGCCTTCTTCATTCGGTTCAGACGCTTCTTCTCAACCAGGCCAGTCCGATCAAGAAATGTGTCATCATCACTGTCATAAAAGTCTTCATCTTCCCAGTTCTTTGCTTTCCTTTTCCGAGATACTAGAGGTAGATAAAATAAATGGAAATAAAATAAGTTTTTTAAAAAAAGAAAAGAAAGAAGGCAAGTAGGCAAGCAGTTTAAAATATCGCTATCAATTATGAAAAGACAGGGTTCAACAAGGTGCCAAACTACATATGAAAACAAAGGACTACACCTGGGAGACACTATGCTAAGTGAAATAAACCAGACCCAAAAGGCATATATTACATGATTCCACTTATACGAGGCACCTAGAATAGTCAAATTCATAGGAATAGGAAACAGAACAGTGGTTATCAGGGGCCAAGGGGGATGAAAAATGGGAAGTTCTTGTTTATTGGATACAAAGATTTGATGTGGCCCTAGCCAGTCTGGCTCAGTGGTTGGAGTACTGGCCCATGGAATGAAGGGTCCAGGGTTCGATTCTGGCCAAGGGCATATACCTTGGTTGCAGGCTCAATTCCCAACCCCAGTCAAGCACATGAGAGAAGCAACCGATCAATGTGTCCCTCTCACGTCAATGTTTCTCTCTCTCTCTCTCTCTCCTTCCACACTGAAAAGCAATGGAAAAAATATCCTCGGTGAGGATATTAAAAAAAAAAAAAAATCAAAGATTCAATATGGGATGATGAAAAAGTTCTGGAGATGGATAGTAGTGACAGTTGTACAACGTGAATGTATTTAATGCCACTGAACTTTTACTTAAAAATGCTTAAAATGGTAAATTTTATGGTATTTATATTTTACCACAATAAAAAATTAAAACAAAGGGCTACTTACTAAGTAAAAGGCTCTTAAAAAGCAGTTGAGTAAAAATGGAAAAAGATAAATAAGGAAAAGACCAATAATCCAAAAGAAAATTTGAAAAAAAATAACAATAGCAGTTCATATTAAAAAAAATACAAATGGTCAAGAAACATTTAAAAAGATATTAAACTTTTAAAAAATAATTTTAAAAAATAAAAATTAAAACAATGAGATACCACTTCTTACATATTAGACTAGAAAACAACATTAAAAGGTTAATAACCAATTTGGCAAGGGTATGGGGAGATGGACTCTCGGTGGAAGTGTACACTGATATAACCTTTTTCATGTTCAATCTTACAACATCTGTCAACATTAAAAATACATTGGTTCAGTAATTCCACTTCTAGGAATTTATACTGTAGATATCAAGCATCATTATTTGTAACAGTGAAACTCTGGAAAGCCCATCAACAGGGGACTATGCTAGCTATTTTTTGTCTACTCTAAACCACCTTGCTCCCCTTGTTATGGTAAAAGTACCCCCTTTCTTCTAGAAAACTCCTTCCCCATCCCATCTGAATTATGGGTAGTCATGTGACCCAAGGATCAGTAAGAATCCTTCCCTCATACTTATATTTAGATATAGGGAAAAACAGGCTCTCTTTCCAATGAGGTTATTAAAGTGAGAGAATATAAATCCATGGGTAAATCTGTCTGCAAAATAAAACCACACACTCCTGAGACAGACTTGCTTACAGATACACACACAGCTTATATGTGTCCTAGTGATACTGAGCTCTGATTTGGTAGGACTAAGTTCTGGTTCCAGAACTTAAGGTCCTGGTTCTGAACACACACCTGTGTGCATAGAAAATGTCTGCAAGAATATAAACAATGGCTACCTTAGAGTTTTGAGATAGGGAGTTTTTCTTTTCACTTCATTGAAGTCTGTACAATTTACATTTTCCCCCTAAAAAAAGTTTTATCTTTTATGTTAAAATTTCCTTCCTTTTTTTTATTTTTAAAGAAAAAAAGTGTTCCCACATACTCACCTGCCTCCTGCCGCAGCAATCCCAAAGTATCAAGGATTCGACAAGCTTCCAGGGAGCACTGGATCATTGCTTCCTTTTTCTTTCCTGAGTGAATGGCCTCAGCCACCAGTTGTTTTCCAGTTGAATCATCCACAGGTAATCTGCATTGGTTTAGAGGGAATTATAGCACAGTACTAAGCTCCAATTCTCATACAAAAAGATTAATCTGTTATGGTAACAGTCATGTTTTTTTAAGATGGTTTTTCAAGTCTCTCGGTTCATTTCATTCTATCTGCCAAGGTTAGATTTCAAATCTTTTCTTTCCACCTCTTACCTATTCCACCCCACCCTCAATAATATAAGTGTTACTAAACTATCAAGAGCCCTCATCAGGAACAACCTAAAATTAAAACTAAAGCTACTCTTTGGCTTGTTGTCTATAACCATAAATTAAACCTGAAATTGGCCACTTTCCAGAAATGGACATTAATGAGAAGAGAACGTACCTCACCCTGCAGAGCCAAGTGCTATGTCCCTGTTCATCAAATTCATACTCTAATTCTTCTCCTTTGGGGGGAAGAAAGACAAGACAATTTTAATAGGATCTAAAAATTACTAGTTGATACAAAGGAAAAAGAGAACAAAAGTTAAGTAAGAATATCAAGTTCCCCTACCAGACTGAAAACTAAATTTCAAGTTCTCATTCCTAGGGATTATCATCTGATAATAAAATGAGGATGAGCTCGAGGCAGGAAAAAAGCAAACTCAAATCAAAACAATCAACTCTCCATGCACAGCTTTGCCCAATGTATAACAGCTTCCACATTTTTTATAAGTTGTGGACTTAAGTTGTTAAATTGTCACAATTGCCTGTTTTTAGAAGCATAAATTTAAGCACAGAATGCAACCATTCATATATATATTCATGCACTCTCACACACACACATCTATGCATACACACATACACTTAGATGTTCCTCAATGACTCTCTAATGAAACAATCCTCTGTGGAATTATTTTTAAACCCTATAAAATCAAAATCCATGCTAAGAATTAAAAAAGATCAGGTGAATTACAAAGAAAAAATTACAAGAAGTTGGCTCAACCACCCACCACCAAAATCTAGGATCTTTCCAGAAGAATGAGGCACGTCAGTAAAAAGAACTTCCTTTTTTCCAAGATAGGAAAGACTAACAAGATGTTTACTATTTTCAAAATACACATGAAACAATTGACCACAAGGGCAAGTACTGAACAAGGAAGACAGCAGATAAAATATGGCATTTCTAAAAACCTGAAGATCTAGAAAACAACATTGCTATGGACACATTCTACCAGGAGGGTCAGAATCTGTTTGCATACCTTCTCGGTCAAAAAAACCTTGGAGAGCCTTTTTCGGGTCCTTTATATAAAAGGCCTCCCTTTCCTGCTGAAACTCTAAAACAATGGGGTTCTCTTCAGCCTCATCCTCTACAGCATCTTCTCCTACAAAATATGGGGAAGTAAGAAAAGACAATCAGATATAAGAAGAGACCATCTGAAAGACACCCACTATCCTTTCTTCATAAAGATATGGTTATCAATGATGAAAAGAAGAGGTAGGGGCAAACAACCAAAAAAACCACCAGTATTGACATCTTTAGGTTTTCTGAATTGTGTGACAAGTTAAAACTTGTTTTTATGGCACTCCCCCTACCCACCCCCATCTCTATATTTTAAAAGCAAAATTACCTACTACATTTTCTATGAGAGAAAAAAAACTTAAGCTCCAGGTCTCATACTTTTCCTCCAATATAATTTCCTAATACTTCTTATCTGTCACATAGACTTGTCTATTCATTACTCCCTTCAAATCACCAGACCCTGCCCTGAACACCACTCCCAATGTTGAGCCTCCTAAGGGCTTCTTTTTTTCCTTCAAGTCCCAGCTCAAAACTCTTCTGCTTATAAACTTTCCCAAAGAGCTAAGTCAGTGCTGCCCAACAGAAATATAATAAAAGCCATGTATGTAAATCTAATATTTTCTAGTATTCACATTAAAAAAGAGAAATATGTTATCAATATAAAAATATCCTCAATATTTTACATTCTTTTTTCACACTAAGTCTTTGCTATCCAGTGTATTTTCTACATTTGCAGCACATGTTGATTTTGACTAGCCACACTTTGAGTGTCCAATAACCACATGTGGCTAATGGCTACCATACTGGACAGTACAGGTCTAAGTCCTCAGTGATTGCTCCCTTCTCTGAACCCTTCCTTACTCTAGCACGATTTGTAGATTTTGCTTGGCACTTACCACAGTAATTTCATATTTAGCCTGTCCTCCCAACAACATATTAGGGCCTTTTCTTTTTATATTCCTAGCTCCTGAATACCATTTCCAGCTCCTCTAGCTAAAGGACCAGCTTTCTCTCATTAGATATTTCACATTTCAGGATATTTACACAATATACAAAAAATTCAAGGGACTATCCTATATTGAATAATATTCCATTTTATTTATTTAAGTATAGTTCCAGCCCTTTCAGCGATAATCAAGGTCAGTAATTAATTTTTAAAAAATTTTAATGCTAAAAATACCAAATTAATTGTATGCTGAGGAAGAATTTCCAGCAAGGGAGTGAACTGTAAAACAAATTAAAAGAAATCCGTAGTACCCATAATTCAATTTCTTTACTTCAGCAAAGTAAATGAATCTCTCCGGGTTTTGGAAACCTCATGTGAAAATTGTGTTTGTCCTATCTGTCTCTAGAGTCATGAAAACTTGCTTGATAAAAACATTTGAGGGTAGCACCAGGAATGATTTTAAAATATTAACCTCTGGTAGCAATTTTCATGTCTTACCCATTCCCCAGGTGCAACCCATTTCATCATCCTGACTACTAGCGCCTCTCTTCCTCTCAGCGGTACCCATTTCCTCATCTTCATCCGAGTCTTCTCCTAGCATCTTCTTCTCCAACATCATTTGTTGCTTCTTGCGCAATTCCTTCAGTTCCGTTACCGTCAACTCGGATTCTGCCTCTCGGTCTTCCTCTGGTCCCTGAAGAACCAAGAGAAAGAATTCTTTTAGAGTTCAGGATCGCTGAAGTCACTTCCAGATACACAGCAATGTGCCCTGAGGTTTGGAGACGAGGGGCCAAGGTTCCTCCACTTTTGTAATCACTGCTAGGGGGATCCGCTTCCTCAGCGAAAGCTTCAGGAGCTCAGGAAGGAACCCAGCCCCGCGCGCTCCAGAGATTTCAATTCTAGGTTTTTCTACCTACCTGAAGAAGAAAGAGCCGGGTGCTGCAGCCGAAGCGAAGAACATGCCCGACATGGACCCGACAATAGGTGCGGGGCGGGATGCGGCTTTTGTTAAGAAAGGTGCCGTGAGTGCTGCCCAGATCGTAGAGGTAGAAGCCGGGCCCGTGGCCGTCGCGTTCTCCGTCGGGGCCGGACGCCCCGTGCTGCAGCACGGCGTGGAACCGGGACACCGACGGGTGCTCCAGGCACACGTCGCAGCTCGGCAGCCTCCCGAAAAGGCAGCAACTGGTCCCTTGCAAGCTACGAGTGCCGAGGATCGTGCCGCCCTTCAGGGTCTCTAGGCTGTAGGGGCCCGCGGCGGGGCCGGCCCACGGCGGCTCTCGGTAAGGGGGGGCCCGGGCCGCGCCGTCAGGAGCAGGAGCCGCTGTGGGGCGCCGCGGCTGCCCCTCCGCTGGACCCCGGGTCTCCGCACTTTCCGGCTGAGCCGGAGGGGCGTCAGGCTCCCCGGAGTCTGGGTCCAGCAGTGCCGTGGACCTCTCCTTCACCTCCTCAGGGTCTGAAGGACTGGTGGCCGGGAACTTGCCCCGCACCGCCGGGGGCACCGGCAGGGCCGGCTTTTTGAAGTCGCCATTGAGTTCCTGCGAAGCAGTCGGCTCGGCGGGAGCGGGGCTGTCAGCCATCCTTAAGCGGGTGCGCTCTCGAAATCAGTCCTGGGAAACCTCACCCTGCGGTCCCCACGTTCCTACCCTCGCCTCTCTCCCCAGCTCCCGAAGCCCGCTCTGGGCAGCGACGGCGCAGTTGCGTGAAGAGAGCGCGGTGAAGAGGCGCGTACAACCGGAAGGTCATAATAAGAGGAAAACTAAATAAGGCGGTCGGGATGCTGTCAGAGCGGGGACGTGTTTAGGGGTTGCACACCGGGTTGTAATGACTTCCCATGGCACAGCCGGATTCCAAGAAGCGCTTCCGGCAGCCTTGGACCACTAGTCCCTGAACCTCAGGCCTCCGGGAGTGGATCGCCGCGCAGCCCCGCGTCCCCGGCGCGGCAGTGAGGAGTGGCGCCTTCTTGCCTCCGCCCGGGTGCAGACCCCCGCATCTCCCAGATGGCCCCGACGTCAGGCGACTCCAGGACCCCGTGACCTGTGCCTGCACCTGCCGAAGAGCTCCCGAGGCGCCTGGGTATTCCTTAGGCTTGGTGCCTGTTCTTCGTACTACTTTCGGTGACGTTAGGGAAAAGGTCGACTTTTTTATTCCTTCGTTCATTCGTTAATTCGTTCATCCTTTTGTTCTTTCCAACACCAGTTATTGAGGCTGCATAGTGAAGTGGTTAAGAGTGCAGACTCGAGCCTGTCTGGATTTTTCCCCCTTGGCCATTTGTGACAGTGGCCACGACAGTGGGCCTCAGCTTCCAAATATGAAAAATGGGATAATAATAGTATCTACTTCGTTGGGTAGTTGGGAAAATTGAATTAAGGCAAATCCTGGAACATAGTAAGCACTCAGTAAATTCCAGATGTTACTGCGAGCCAGACACTGTATCTACTGAGATCGTGGTTTTGAGAGAGAGATGGGAGGGTAAGATCAGTTGATGTAAGTACTAGTTTAAATCCAGGGGAAATGCTGTGATGGAACTGGCAAAGCGCCGTGAGAATATAATGGCTTGAGATGTACCGGGGACATTATGGAGTGTGGTGACTTAAGCTATACTTAAGAATGAATACAAGCCTACCAGGGATGTGATGGGTGCAGGGAATTGCTGGCAGAGAAATCCCTTAAAGAGTCAACTGTGGAAATTCCTGGCATTCTTGAGAAACTGAGTATGATATTGTTGGAACTGAGAAGGTCATTTCCTCCAGCAAGCTCCTCTGGACTTGCACTGCCACAATGTCTGTGCTTCCAGAACAGCACTTACCACACATTTTCATATTGAAATGGTCTTTTTATGTTTCTCTCCCTCACCTCAGGTCAGGGATCTTGCATTGGTCTTTGTCTCCTCCCATAATGCCTCGCATTTGATAAATGTTTGTTGAATTTGAAGAGACATATGAGCAATGAATCTGGAAAGGTGGGTTGAAGCGAGATTGTGAATTTTGTTGAATGGTAAGCCAAAGAATTCTGACTGGTTTTTTCCAATAGGCAATGGCAAGCCATTAATCTGAGTTTTTAACAGTAAGTCTAGCAGCACTAGAGAATAGATTAAGACACAAGGAGAGAATGGAGGAAGGGAATACCAGTAGGATTCAGCAGAAATCGCTCAGATTCTTATGTGTATGTCAGAAACTGAACGCATTAAGACCATTTAGATTACTGGTTCATACATTTTCCACCAGGACCAGTTAAAAGGTTCCCATACCTGACACACAGAATGAGAACTACCTCTTTCTGTTTTTAACCATACTCCCTTTTCTCCTGCTGATCCAGAACATATGTGCCAATATACTCTGAGAAATATTCCAGGTCTCATTTAAGTAACTGGCTTTGCAAATTGTTCAGGATTGGGAATGATGATAATTCTAGTAGTGAGTTAGTAGAGTGAGACAGAAAATAGAGTCCCAGATACTATAACCCAAATTCTACCTTATGGTTCAGTCCAGTAGGAATTGTCATAATGTGTGATTTGATGACTGTCATCTAACAGTTGTATTTCTCTTAATTTCTTAAGGGAGAACATCTTTGGTCCTACAGTGTTGCTGACGCTGACATTTTTCTAAGTGGCCTTGAACAACCTACTTTTTATGTAAATACCAACTAGACTTCATATTTTTCACTTCAGAAGCCTATAATCTACAGTTGCCAGATACCCTACTTTTAGGATATCATTTACATTTAACTTGAAAGCTCTTATTTTCTTATTCCAAAATGTTGAGATACTGGGGAGAGATACCAATCTCATCAAGCCAGACCAACAGAAGTTCCTTTGATTTGCTGCCACGGGAGTTCCGTCTGGTGGAAGTCCATGACCCACCCCTGCACCAACCCTCAGCCAATAAGCCCAAGCCCCCCACTATGCTGGATATCCCCTCAGAGCCATGCAGCCTCACCATCCATACCATTCAGCTGATCCAGCACAACCGACGTCTGCGCAACCTCATTGCTACAGCTCAGGCCCAGAATCAACAACAGACAGAAGGTGTAAAGACCGAAGAGAGTGAACCTCTTCCCTCTTGTCCTGGGTCACCTCCTCTTCCTGATGACCTCCTGCCTTTAGATTGTAAGAATCCCAATGCACCATTCCAGATTCGGCACAGTGACCCAGAGAGTAACTTTTATCGGTAAGGCTTGTATCTTCCATTTCTCAAAAAAAAATCTTTCCAACATTGCTATTAAGCATGTAATAACATTTCCGTGAGGAAACTGAGAATAAGAGTTACTGACTCAGCCAAAGTTGCTCAGGTAGTTAATGAGAAGTCCAAGACTTTAACCCTGATCTTCAAAAATCCAAAGTCTGTATTTTCTTATTTTTCTGATGCAACAAATATTTATTGAGTGCCAACTATGTACCAAGCACTTTACTAAGAGCAAAGCACTACAGTGATTTTTAAAACAGACCACAGCCTCATAGTCCTCAGGATCTAGTCTTTCTCTTTCATTTAAAATGTATATTATGGGTTTAGCTCAGTGTCCTCCAACTGAGATTCATAGACTTATTCTGGTATTATTAGGAACCCACAAGTTCTGTAAGAGAATTTTTAAATTGTATATGCTCATTTTGATAACATAGTTTAAGAAATAATAATAGAAAACCATTCTTGATCCTTGCTACTCAAAATCTGGCTGAAGACCAGCAGCAGCAGCACCTGGGAGCTTGTTAGAAATGCAGTCTCAGGCCCCACCCAGACCCACTGAATTAGAATTTCATTTTAACAAGTCTCCAGGAGATTCATGTGTGTGTTTAAGTTTGAGGAGCCCTGCTCCAGATGCTCTGAATGACTTATAACCTAGTGCTACCACTAGATTTCAGTGTGTAAGTTTGCACCTGAAGCCAAATAACTACTATTTTTTTTTCATTTTGAAATTCATCAGACCTTCAGAAAAGTTTAAAAATTGTACAGTGAACACCCAGGTACCATTAACTTGGATTCACTAATTGTTAACATTTTGCCATATGTACTTTCTCCCATACGTGTGTATACACACAAAGATACATACACACACACACTTTTTTGGCCAAATATTTAAAGTTGCAGACGTCACAATATTTCATGTCTAAATTCTTCACTTTATCCTATGAATAAGGAAATTTTCCTGCATAATCCCAATGTCATTACACCAAAATAAATGAACACTAATTAAATGATATCATATAATAAGGCCATATTCAGATGTCTCCAGTTTTCCCCAAAATATCTTTTGTAGATAAATTTTTCCCCAGTCTAGGACCTAACAAAAGATTCATGCATTGCATTTGATTTTATGCCTTTTTAGTGTCGTAAGCCAGAATAGCTTCCTCCTTTTAAAAAAATGTATTAATCTCTTTTTAAGAGTTCAGGTCATTTGTTTTGTAAAATGTGCCACTTACTGGATTTGCTGGTATTTCCTCAAGATTAGATTCAGGTTAAATTTGGCAAAAATTCTATAAGTAATATTGTGTATCACTTATTGAATCTGCCTATTGATGATAATAGTTCTATTTTTATTGTCCCAAACTAATGAGAAAAGAACAGAAATAGACTTACTATGTAAAGTCGCAGTTGGGCTAAATGAAGGCCAGATGATCATGGTGAAGTCTTTGGACTAGTGAATGTGGGAGGAATAACTAATTACCATTTATGGCACATATTCTTATAGAGATGTCCAACTTAGAAACACTTGCTCTGTAGTAATCAGTACCATTTTTAGGGCAATCTAGTTGTAACAAAATAATATCATCCATCATATTAAATTGATGCTGTTTAGAATTTTGCAGTTTTGTATCAAATTTCTAATTGTTAGGAAGAGCTATAGACATCAAAAGTTCATATCTACTCTTTTATACATATTTAAGAAACTAACAAAAATAATGTGCATTAGTTATGGGAGTGCCAAAAGAATTATTTTCCTTTGAAAACATATAGGTCCATATAGTACTCAAGAAAAGCAATACTGGTTTAGCTCTGTTTATTAGGCACTTCTGAGGCCTACAGCTTTTGGCGCAGAGATACTTATGGCCTGGGAAATGATGATGGAAATAGTAAATGGAAAGTTATTTGGCACTTGGTTTTCTTCTTTTCCAACTATTAGTGAATTGCAGTAGTTGGTACTGAGCAAATAACAGTAAAATGGGTGGACAGTTCCTCAAACACTCTATACAGCAAGTGGAAACACATGCCAAGTATGGAGCAGGGAAGAGTAAATTTCTGTATCCTATTTTATTTTTCTTTATTGCAACTAGCAGAAGACAGATAGGAAATTTCAGGAAACAGGTAAATTATTAGAGACTTGTTAAAAGTTATTTTTAGGAGATCAGACAGCTTTTTCAAGTTTTTTCTTGGGAAGATTAAGTTTCCTACAATAGCGATTAGGTGCAGTTTGGTGTATTATGAAGAGCACGGGATCTGGAGTCCAAAGCTCCACGTGGCACTTACTAATAATACCTAAATGACTTCTGGCAAGTCAGCCCCTCTGAACCTGTTTCCTCAACTGCCAAATGAGAGTAATTTTGGATGCTACCTGTTGCACAGCACAGGACAGGATAAACTGCCTCGTGGGCTGTGTATGTTTTGAATTGCTGCTATAAAATTGAGTCGCTTTCCCAACTTTACAAATGCTCTGTTGCAGTTATAAAAGAATCTCCTAATTGGGACTGTAAATTTCTGAAAGGTCGTATGTTGCCCAGCATGTGAGGAAGCTGTTCTATTGAAATAACCTGAGCACAGTTGAGCAGTATCTGAGTTATACTGTTAATCAGATCCTAAAAGTGATCAAAATTGAGCAGTTGATGTAAGAAGGAAACGTCCTTTTTACTATATATATATGCCCTTTTATACTTTCTGAAACACATGTATTGCCTATTCAAGCTTTATGTAATTGGAGGAGCTCAGAAATAGGACTGTGGGTTGCTTATACATGCCCCAACAACAGCAAAGGTGACACTGGGCTATGTAACCTGCATAGAATTTTCTTGGAAAGCTGGGCCAGTGGGTTGATTGGAGGGAGACAGGACAGGTCACCCTTTTGCAGGAGCACTAATAACACTACCATATCTCCGCTTTCAGTGGGAAAGGGGAACCTGTTACTGAACTCAGCTGGCACTCCTGCCGGCAGCTCCTCTACCAGGCAGTGGCCACCATCCTGGCCCATGCAGGCTTTGAGTGTGCAAATGAAAGTGTCTTGGAGACCCTAACCGATGTGGCACATGAGTATTGCCTTAAGTTCACCAAGTTGCTGCGCTTTGCTGTGGATCGGGAGGCCCGGCTGGGGCAGACTCCTTTCCCTGATGTTATGGAGCAGGTATTCCATGAAGTGGGCATTGGCAGTGTGCTCTCCCTCCAGAAGTTCTGGCAGCACCGCATCAAGGACTATCACAGTTACATGCTACAGGTGAGGTGACCCTGTGGAGAACGTAAAGATGTGTGGTCTGGGGTGTTCAGCAGAATCCCACAATGGCTATAGAATGCAGAGCACAGGATCTTGGAACAGAGTGGACATAATCTACTTTCCTCATGACCCTAGCAGAGATTTGTTTGGCCTCATCACTGACCTGGCCAAACAAAACAGAGTGAGGTGCAGGGAGAGACACCATTTTGGGTTAGAACCAGAAATATCTCATCTCTTAAACACTTGTTGCCTTACGCAAATCATTTGTTCACTGTTTTGGTTTCCCCAAATCTAAAATAACATATGGAATTTTTAACAACCAACAAAAAAGGATTTACTAAGTGATCCAGATTTCCTACACCATTCATTATCCACCTAGGATACACAATGTTAACTGTTAGTTTTTACAGCCAAAATGTGATCTTTGTGTCAGTTCTGATTTATCTTTTCACTTTATGTAACTTTTAATTGACACATACACACACTCTCTGCAAACATATTTTCTTTACGTCTGTCATTTACAGATGCAAACTCAGCACCTTAAGCAGATTCCTTCCATTGGCAAAGGGAGCTTTATTCATATTCATATTCTGTTGGCTTTTCCATGACTGTCCAACGTGTTTCTAACATTGCCTTGAAAAATTGTCTTGCTTGCCAACAGATTAGTAAGCAACTCTCTGAAGAGTATGAAAGGATTGTCAATCCTGAGAAGGCCACAGAGGACACTAAACCTGTGAAGATCAAGGAGGAACCTGTGAGCGACATCACCTTCCCTGTCAGTGAAGAACTGGAGGCTGACCTTGCTTCTGGAGACCAGTCTCTGCCCATGGGAGTCCTCGGGGCTCAGAGCGAGCGCTTCCCGTCTAACCTGGAGGTTGAGGCTTCACCACAGGCTTCAAGTAAGAGAAATCAACTTACTTTGATTCTGGGAGATCTGCCAATCTCAGTACTTTTTATATCATGAAATTATACGCTGAAGGTGGAAGAACAAAAGGGTGGGCAGGAGAATGAAGTCTAAAAACACAGCTTCACTGATCTAGAGATACCAACATTCTTCTTTTTGTAATTAGAGGACTAATACAGCTTTACAAGCATTCTTTACAATACTTCCTAGTTAGGATATACATGCAATATGGGTTGTCCTGTTGATTACAAGTTAATGCAACTGACCCAGCTGGGAGGGCAAATGTCCTCTCCTTCCCTTAGTATCTGTATTGGACCTTCCTGGTGCTTGTTCTCAGTTAATTAAGACAACTTCCAGATGGATGGAGGAGTGTTAATTGCTCAAGGATATTTGAATAGTTGGGCTTACTTGCTAGAGTAATGCAACAAAATGGAGCTAAAAGCGATTGAAAAAGGGCTACACAGAGGCAGCTGGCCTCTTCTTCCAGATGACTCTGCGAGCACCTTACAAACCAGGATGACTTGATCCTTAAGTCAGTCAGACTGCAAATTAGCCTAGACACTTGGTTCTTTACAAATATAAATTGTCATTTCATCAATGCACACACAAAGAATTAGCAAATCCTCCAGTGTGGCCTAAACAGAATTAGGCCACAGTTTTAAACTGTTGGGCAGAGCCTTTCACTATTGAATAATAACCACAGAACAGTATTGCTAGAACACAGAGAGCCAGGAGAGCCTTGTTGAAGACTTAGGGGCCATGTCTCTCTTCAGCAGTCTGGGAACTGCCAGCATTTTGGAGTGAACGTTAACTTTTCATAATGTGAGATAGGACGAGGGACCCAAACAAAAGGCAGGGAAATAAGACAGCCCCATTAAAGGAAGGGCAGGCAGACATAACTGAGCAAGAGCCTGTAGGTGTGCCTGCCTTTGGGCCATGAGACAGGGAATCTTTCCATTGCACACAGTCTTACTTCCCTGGTTCACGAAATGGGGGTGGGAGGGTAAAGTGGAAAGGAAGATATTCAGAGTTGGTCTGGTTTTTTGAAGTAGAGAATTACAACCATAATCTCCAGCCAAGAAGAGTCAGAATATAAGCTGATTGCAAAGGCCCTGGATAGTATATTCATTCTACTTTGTTCCAGCCTTGGCTGACCAGCAGTTACATGTCCTTCCATTTTTAGGTACAGAGGTAAATGCTTCCCCTCTTTGGAATCTGGCCCACGTGAAAATGGAGCCTCAGGAGAGCGAAGAGGGCAACGTCTCTGGGCATGGTGTGCTGGGAAGTGACGTCTTCGAGGAGCCCATGTCAGGCATGAGTGAAGCTGGGATCCCCCAGAGCCCTGATGACTCGGACAGCAGCTACGGTTCCCACTCCACTGACAGCCTCATGGGGTCCTCCCCCGTTTTCAACCAGCGCTGCAAGAAGAGGATGAGGAAAATATAAAAGGGGAAGAGTTTCTGTCCACTCCTGCAAGCCCAGCAGAAAACCCCATATATTCAGATTCCGTGGTGATCTGACTCTTAACAGTGGATTTTCCCGGTTTCAGTAGAACTGGACTTAACCAAACAAGTCTGTATATTATTTTTGCATCCAGTTTTTGTAGTTTTCCACAACCACCAAGCCCTTTCACCAGTATGTCATGACGCTGGGATGGTATTCAGGAGACCAAAGCACTGCCTCTGATGGCTGTCCTTACTGTGACTGGACAAGTTGCTTAGCTTTTTTAGTGCCATTTCTCTTGCACAACTGAGAAGTCATACCACTTTGACCCACGTTGCAGGGCTGCTGTGAAGACTCAGACACTTTTAAACCTTAAAGCTGTGCTTGAACAGACTCACAAGTAAATGTTTATGGTATCAGATGTGTTTTTTCATTTAACTTCATTTTCGGTTGTCATTGGGAATCCAGCACTAATACCTAACAGGAAATAGCTAAACTCTGTACAGCTTACCCATCAGTAGTCTTTGAAACTTTGGTTGCCCATGACGTCTCAGAAAATCAGGTCAGTGGTAACACTGCCTTTTTGCTTCAGACAGCCCTCTCCTACCTCATCCACGTAGTTTCTTCTTGCTTCTTTAGATTTATTCCATCTATCCTCATCTTTGTCTTTTATTTCCACTTAGATTTTTAAAGTACTTTCAATATGTACATTTATGCAATTGTTTCTTTCATTTTCTCCTTTGTGAATGAAACATAGACCTGTCCAAGGACAGGCTTGTGCTTATTTCATTTGTAGCATCTGCTTGACCATCAGAACAGCAGCCCATCCCTTTGCCAGAATTCTACATCTGCACATTGATTCTACTGGATGGGCAGCCTCTTAAAAAAGACTTTCTACTCTCCATCTTGTCCTGACCAACTTTACTGTTTTCACTCATCCATCACAGTACTGCCTGCTTGGCATCTGATAGTCTCAATCAGTATTATGTAAATGATGCAGCATTGGAATAATTGGGAATAACTAGGAAACGTGTGCCTTATGCTTTGGTAATAGGTGCCAGCATGTTAAATTCTGCTAAAATTTGTTTTATAGGTGCAGGTTACAAGTCTTGTGAAATTTAGAGCACTCTTTTAATGAAGACCAAAATAAGGCACAGCTTTAATTAGTGCTTTAAATGTCCCAGGCATTAATAAAGATGAATGCAATAGCAGCGAGGTTATAACCTAAACTGTTATCACATCATTTATAAATTTGCTAATTATACATCCTCAGCACACTTAAACACTTCCTGTTCCAGGCTAAGCTTCGCTTTCCCTTATGAAAGTGGGCATCAGTCAGTTTCCATAAAGTAGCCATCTAATATTTAATTCATTCAGTTGGGAAACATTTATTGAGTACCTATTATGTGCTAGGTCTTTTGCAAGGGATACGAAGATGAATAAGACTTTGTGCCTGCCCTTGTGAAGCTTATAGTGTAGGCCATACAAGTTATTCTTTTAAGGAAAAGGTGTACAAAGGCACTAAGGGAAAAACCAGGTATGTTTAGAATTTTGCTGTGTAAATGGTTTCCTCTTAAATAGGTTCAAATTTTTAGACCAGTGGTTCCCACTAGGTATAGAATATTGAAATTAATACTTCATGGTAAAATAAAATACTTTTATTTTTAGAATGTTAAAGTTGGAGAATAGGCACCAGATGGTCAAAGTTAGGGTACTCTGATAAAGCAGGTCAGATGAGGACTGATACTGAGACTCACCTGGTCTGGAATTATCACAGGCTGTTTGAGTTGTTAGAGCAGTGGTTCAGATTGCTGGGCCCCACCCCCAGTTTCTGACTCAGGTCTTCAGAGTCACTTTCTAACGATTGTCCAGGTGATGCTCATGCTTCTGGCCCAGAGACCACACTTTCAGAACCCTTGGAGGACACATTAGGCAGGGATAAAATTCCTTAAGAGAAATGTGCTACACTTTAAGACACTGTGAAGAGTGGAGGCAGGTAAACCATGGCTCTTATATGTGGAATGTACACCTGACTCAGATCCATGGCCTTTGAGTAAATCACCAAGGATACTTTGCGTTAAGTTCAAAGTAGAATACAGGGCCTGGCTCTATAACCTGATTACTAGGTTTGTGTACAGGGGAAATGTTAGTTAACATCACCTCACTGAGACAGGTTTGGACATGTGGCTTTAAACCTCTGATGAACAGAAGTGAATCTATTTGTGATTATATAATTTTCTTAAATTATGACAGGCAGGCTTACAACAAAGTTAAAATTAAAAACTCTTCACCCAAGTCACCATCAAAAGCAGGATTCTTATTAATTATATGTTTTCCCCACTTTCTTCAACAAACCCAGTGTCTTATAATGAGCTACCAAGCATGAGGCACATTTCATACCAACAGATTGGTTGCTAAGGAGACTCCACTGCCACCCTGTACAAGCTCATGTTTCCCTCCCATTCTGCTAAAAGGAGGGGAACTCATGGCTCAAGGGCAAGATATTAGGGAAATAGAGGCTATAGACCCAGCCTAATAATAGAGATCTGAAGTAAACAATATGTTCTCTATTCCATCCATCAGCAGCAAAAGTACTTGAGTTCAATGATAAAATGTGAAGTTTTACACACAGAATACCAGCATCCAAGAACAGTCAGAACATCTGTCCTTGCAAAAATCCAAGAGAAAGCAAAGCGGAATCAGTGTCTACCTGCCAGGTCCAAATTTCTTCTATCCCTGTCTTCACTGGCATCAGGAGATTTCCCTAATGAGAGAAACTGCTATTCTGAACAAAACTGTTCTTAATTATAGTAACCCCAATCAGAGGTAAGGATAGTTCCTTCACAGAGTTCCAAACTTTTGGGCTTCCAGAAACTATTTGTTGTTTCTCTTCCAGTACTGTGCCATTGATTCTTGCATAAAATTCTGGAATGCTGGCTCTTCATGGCTTTCCTCTGTAACTGCAAGAAAAAAGAAGCCAATTCTTTTTAAACTCTCCCATTACACAGGTAGATCAGACTTGCTGCCACCCATCCATCACACAGTATTCTCTAAGAAATAAAGTGTTCACTTCCCCCAGCAAGGACACCTCCCAGAGCATGCTCTATTTACCATGTTGCCCAAAATGTATAATATCTTTTAAGTGGGGAAAAAACCTCCCTCATAAAGTAACTAAAATGAGGTTCCACTCCTAAGTATTTTTATCCAAGGTAAATGAAAGCATATGTCCACACAAAGACCTATTGATGAATGTTAACAGCAGCTTTATTTGTAATAGCTAAAATCTGGAAAAAACCCAAATGTCAATCAGGTAGTGAATGCATAAACAAAATGTGGTACATCCACATAACGGAGTATTACTCAACTATAAAAAACACTACTGATACATGCAGCAATACAAGTGGATCACAAAAACATTATACTGAGTGAAAAAAGTTGAATGCAAATTAAATACTGTGATTCCAATTATATGACATTCTGGAAAAGGCAAAGTTATAGAAACAGAATGAGATCAGTGACTGCCAGGAACTAGGCATGCAGGAAGGGACTATAAAGACGGGCATGATAGAACTTTTGGGGTAATGGAAGTGTTCTGTATCTTGATTATGATGGTGGTTACAAGACTGTATTTATGTGTTAAAACTCATCAAGGTATTCTCTCTCTGTAGAGCATGCCTGCGCCTTTCCCACCAGGTGGGTGGGAGGTGCGTGTTCTCCCCAGACTCGTTACTTTTGCTTTTCTCTCTCCTAAGTTCTAAGGGCCCTTCTTTTGCTTCTGTAACTCGTTTCCTGAGCCACACAGCCCAGCTGGCTCACTTCTACTACCTCTGTAACTTTCTAAATAAATTGTCTCTTATATTTTGAAAGAAGAAAAAAAACCACAACTCATCAAACTATAAACTTTTAAAAGATGGGTTTTACTCTATAAATTATACTTCAATAAATCTGATTAAATGAGGCACTTTACATGTTAGCATCCAGTGCACTGGAGTAAATAGAGGTTTGGCTTCTGGTCACAGCTAGGACCTAAACGGATTGTCTCAAGAAACAGATTCTATCCAGTCCATTAAACTACGCCAAGCTGACCCTTTTGGGTTTCCAAAGTCATTCTATTCTCAAAGTGTTACAGTCTCTTCTGACTAGTTCAAATCTGCTGAGGCCTCCTTGTGTATTCTTAAGACAATTACAATAAACAAGATCCTAGATTCCTCAAACTGAGTTAGGACCTTCAGGTGAGAAGAAGACTAATAAAAGGCCTGTAATCAGCTCAATAGTAACCATTCAGCAGGAAGGCCAGGAACTCCCGGTGCATGGCAATCTCCCGGAGCTGTATCCTGCACCGTCTCCTCTCTCCCCTATTGCTGGCTGCATACTTAAGGTCTCCTCTCAACAAGAAGCTCCCGACCACCCAGTGGGAGGGTAAGCAGCTAGTCTGTTTCCATGAGCCCCCTCAGCCGCCTCTCACCTCTGTGGTCAATGTCGTCAGTGTCGCTGTCCGCTTCCTCGTCCTCTTCATCCAAGGTTCCCCGAGTCAGGATCAGGTCGGAAGGGTCCCGCACAGGAGATAAGCTGTCTACAGAGGAAACACCAGTAACGTGTCATGAGCACATGCCTCCTCAGAAAGGTGATTTTGAATCAGTAACTACAATTTTGAATTTGGCGAGATGAAAGTGGTCATAATAAAATGCAGGACCCTACTTCTTCCAAATATATTGTTAATGCCACTTAACATTTCTATAGTATAGTTCACAAAGTGCTTTCACTATCCTCATTTTTAAACTGAGAAACATAATTCTCAAGTAGCTTATCTTAGTAGGAACATCATTCATTTTTAATGGCTCACAGCTTGGAATAGACTATGGTTTTTCTTATGAAGGCTCAAGACATTTGGGCAGATCCAGAGTGCTGGTGAGTCAAGGGTAAGTGTGGAGCACTAAGGAAGCTTCCTGATGGAAATTAAGTTCAGAGAGGGTCTGAAGAAAACACAGGGTGAAATGATCCAAAGTAGAGAAGCTTGCATATTATTCAGAAATAAGAGGAAGGGCCTGTACGGCACGGCTCAGCAGTTGAGCATCGACCTCTGATCCAGGAGATCGCAGTTCGATTCTCAGTCAGGGCACATGCCTCGGTTGCGGGCTTGATCCCCAGTGAGGGGCGTGCAGGAGGCAGCTGATCAATGACTCTCATCATTGATGTTTCCATCTCTCTCAATCTCTCTCTCTGAAATCAATAAAGATATATTATTTTAAAAAAAAAAAAAAAAGAAAGAAAGAAATAAGAGAGAGGAGAAGAAATGGAAAACTGAATATAGTAAAAGAAGTAAATTCCCTAATCAGGGAAACTGAATAGGGCCGAGCTCCAATAATCAGGAAAAAGTCTAATCCGGTAATTCCTAGGCAGGGGATTTGGACTGCAGGAGTCGGGTTCCAGGAGAACCTAAAACCATGCCAAGTAACCTAAAGCTATGGGAGGACAGGACTACTCTCTCTTCAGGGGCCTAAGAGGTTAAGCAAGGTCAGCTGGGGAACAGGGTGGCAAACAGCAGCATCATGGAACACAAAGCTCCGGACTGTGGCCCTGAGAAAGGACGATGACATGGGTGCTGACAGTCAATGCTTCATTCTGTGCCCAACTCAGAATTACATGGCTATCCTTGTGACTATCCCCAAATAATTTACTAAAACTCTCCAACCTTTAATAGGTTATCGTAGTACAGCAGACCCTTTGCAACAGATTTAACAGTTGCCATTTCATGTATTCACGAGTGATTCCAAAGACCACAGCACAGAAATTTATGTTGCTGAGGTGTTAAACAAGGATGGCATAGGCGAGTTCACATATCCAGCGTCTGTTCCTCCAAGCGGCTTTGCTGTTCTCTACTAGGTGTATAGCCATAGCTTTCATGAATAGAATTTCACTCCTTTAAAGACCAGCCCATCAGTAAGTGTGGATGGGTGGGACTGTATACACTTAACTATGCGCACCAACCTAGAAACCCCTAGAGGATCAATGACAAAACTAACTCAATATAAAATGTCAGTAAAGCAGCACAATAAAAAGACTAATGTACAGAAATTAAAAGCCTTCATATACACAAACATGACTAGTTAGAACAGATGATGATTCAGAAAAACCCATTTTCAACATTAACAGAGAAGAAAAACTCCTTGGAATAACTATAATAAGAAATATGCAAACCCCACATAACAAAAACACCCTCCTTTTCTCTTTCCTCTCTTAAATATATCTTCCTGCTGCATAGAAATAACGTACCCCCTTTTAGTTCCTTACACCATGAGACCCTCCAATACCTGTAGCAGCTCCTGTGTCCAAGTCCACAGAACCCATATCTTTCCGAAGGCGCTCCAGTTGTTCTTTCTGCTGCTGGCTCTGTGCACTGGCCTGTATATACAGAGAAAAATACCATCCGATTCAAAAAGGAGCCCCAAGTTAGATGCCAGACTTCTGACTAGTGATGACCAATTATACAAATGCTAGAGACTACTTAAACATTGATGCAGATAAGGGATGGCTAATATGGGGACAGAAACACTGAGCAGTAAGGACCCAGACCAGGAGTTCAGGCTGGAGGGCTCTGGAGACTGAATCAGAAGTTTCAGAAACTAGACACAAAATACATCAAAAGACCCCCTCAAGTACATATAGCAGGAGGGCTTGGTGATATAGAGCACAGTGTGGACGATGGGGACAGGACATTGATCGTTTGGGATAAGAGCGGTGAACCACCTCCTCTGTTCCTAAACAAAATTCTACAGCTAGCCTTTAAATGGACCGGGGGGGGGCACAATAAGGGCTTAGCACATGTAACAGGAAAGTCTGACTTTTTTTAGAAGTCCTCACCAGAAGGTATGTTCTACTGATTTTTTTAGAGAGAGAGGAAAGGAGGGAAGGAAAAAGAGAGAGAGAGAGAGAGACATCAATGTAAGAAACACTGATCAGTTACCTCCCATACATGCCCTGACTAGGGATCAAACCCACAACCTAGGTATGTGCCCTGACCAGGAATCAAACCCGAAACCTTTTGGTGTACGGGATAACGCTCCAACCAACTGAGCTGCCAGGGCAGGAAAAATCTAATTTTTAAAACTTCAAATAAAGAGAAAAATAATTAAGGGGCCTTTTTGTATCCAGACAGCACACATAGAAATTTACAAATTTAAATTAACAAGTATCTAAAAAACACACTGATGGCCAAAACAAAGTATTAAGGGCAAGAGGATAAGTAAATGATTTGAGGTTATGTTTTGGGGGGCCCAAAAATACACAAACAGCCTCCTCTCTTACCAGTGATTTCTTCAGACGTTCATATTCAGGACGATACTCCCTGGAAAAGAAACACTTTCTAAATTCCTGTGCTTAATAATCTGTCCTGCCTGCCCCCACCTCACTTCTATTTTCCTAGGGCTCTGACAATAAAGAAGATCTTACTTCACTAAATTTTAGGCATAACAAGTATTATTCACTGAAATTCTACCCCTATGGAATTAAAAGCCAAGGTGCCTGACCCTGAAACTAGAAAAAAGAAAAATGTCTGACTGCTGAGCTAGAAAGATTAACTCGAGAGATCATGACTGATGAGCTTATCATTCATTTGGATAAACATTTGAGATGAGTAGAAGAAGCCAGGCCTGTTGGGTTCAGGAAACCCAATACATAATTATGTGGTTTAACAGGACAACAACGAAATGATACAAAACAGAGTCTATCCTGAGGCCTTGATAACACACACACACACACACACACACACACACACACACAACACAAAACACCCTATCTGATGAATCAAAATAAAAATAATGTGTCTGAAAACCACAACATGGTTGTTAGGATCTTGCTAAGTATGAAGCCAAAGGAGCATGCTAGGAAGCAGCCAACTAACAGGCTACAGCCTAAGGAAAGTATCTATGTGCTCTGACTCCACTTTCCTTTAGGTAAATGGAATTCCAATATTAACCACAACAGTTATAACCACCATTTATTACGAAATGCACTTACTATATGTCAGCAATTGCACTGAGTGCTTCAGATGTTTTCTCAAATAATCCTCACAACGACCTTCGCAATAAATGCTATTATCCCTGATACAAATGACGTAAGTGGAGGAAACAGAAATCCAACTGAACTGTCTGACTCCAAAGTCTATGTTCTTAATCGGGGTCAGCCAATGTGGCAAACAGGCCAAATCAAGCTGCCTGCCTATTTCTGTAAATAAAATTTTACTGGAACATAGCCACGCTCATTCACTTACAAATTATCTATGATGCTTTTGTGCTACAATGACAGAGCTGAGCAGTTGCAAAAGAGATCACATGGCCCACAAAGCCTAAAATAATTATCTGGCTTTTTACAAAAAATCTGAAGACTCCTGCCTGCTCATTAAATACAGTGAAGAGTTTATACTCCTATTTTTTTAAAAAGTTATTGGGGACTTGTTACCCCTAAGTATGGTCAGAGCCAGTACACATATGCATGCCAAATATAATATGTACACTATGAAAACCAAAACGCTTTGCCTGGTAAAACTGCTGTATCAGAATTGTGGGTTACACAGAATGTCATCAACAGAATTTTCCTTTGTGCTCACCTTTCATATTCTTCTGCAGCACTGGTGACTTGCATGAAGAGTTCATCTAAGCCTGTACCCAGGACAGCAGACACACCTACCACCTGACAAAAGCAACATTAAAGCGACTGAGGAAACACATGTATTTTTTAATGGTGGATATTATTTTGTTCAAATCTCATAAAATCTTCATAAAAGAAATTTAGATACTTAAGTCTCTGGCAAAGAATAAAGCTAAAACAAAACAAAGCAGCATGTCTACTAAAAAGTCGTGGAAACAAGTCTATGGAAAATAGAGAACTGAACAAGAAAAATAATTAGGGCTGAACAGGTAGCAGGAGTTTTTTATCTATTCTTTATCAAATCAAACCACTATCTGTATGTGTCTCTGCTTGGGCAATTAACATACGCTCTGCCACCCATACCCACTTTCACGCATACAGATATTACCCTTCCTTCAAAGCATACCTCTAATACTATATTCCCCCAAATTTCTCATTTCAAGTGATCTGCCCTCTCACCACCATCAGGTCCAACTTCCAATCTTTCTTACCACAATATATTATGTTTTAATTCTGTGTGTAGCCTTCTCTTCTAACTAGACCATAAACTCTCTGAGGGTAGGGTCTCTATCTTAATTATCGTTTAAACCTGCAGTTCTTAATAAGTTAATGCTTTAAAATTTACTTTTCAGAAGGTAATGAGTATCCTTCCTAAGATGGGTTCAAAGCCAACCCTATGGGTTAAGAGGTTATCTTCAGAGACTATTAGTATGAGCAGAAGAGAAAGTTTACCCTGAGTGAGCTGTAAAACTCATCTAACACCAAGCTCATTGAACGAGTCAGGTTACTGACGTACGTAGTCTCTTGATTCAAGGCATCTTGGAAAGCCTCAAAATCTTGCATCCATTCCACTGCAAAGCTGTGATCAATGATGTCAGTCTGTAGCAGAGAGAAGCCAACTATGAGCAACCAGAGATGAGTTTACACATCAAACAATGCCCCGCCCCCCAAATTTTAAAATTAAGTGATGACAGCAAAAAGCAATTATTCAGGGGTGAGGGGAGGTAGAAGGTGTAAGGGGGAAAATGGTGATAGGAAACTTGACTTGGGGTAAACACACAACACAATACACAGATGATGTATTACAGAATTGTACACCTGAAACCTATATGTTACTAACCAATGTCATCCCAACAAATTCAATAAAAATAAATAAAACAATTATTCATGTATGTTCTTTCTCCACTTTCCCCAGTTCCTTCCTCTTCCACTGCAACAAGCCACAAAGAATCAAGACTGCTGCATAGTGTAACTAATGAAATGAAGATCTATGTTCTCTTGGATGAAGCAAACCCTTCACTATCCACTGCCAAGTGCCCATGACTGTTTCAGTTAAGCTTGAATCTGCTCTCCAGCATCTGAAATAATCCTTCTCACCTATTCCAAATCTTCCAATAACACAACGTTCTAATGAAAAAGAAATACAGTATCGAATCACAACGTTAAGGATCCACTTACTTTGTTCATGACCACAATGAAAGGAAGCTTGGTTTTGTACAAGATGCTGAAAATCAAACATCAAGACATTATTAGTAAAAACACTTCAGCTCTTGTTTACCCAGCGTCAGTCTGCTGGACTGAGTAATGGGGAGTGAGTTCAGACTCGAAATATAAGGAATCCATTCTTATGAGGCACATACCCTCTGCTCCCAAGAGGAAAACCACCAACACCATCACGTAAACAACACACACACACTCTCTTTTTTTAAGATGCTTTGCTACTGATCCTATTTTCTGTGTGTGTGTTTCTGTTTGGTTTTTTACCAAATAACTGTCTTTTAAATAACTAATATAAAAATGAGCAAATGCCGTCAGTCATCAGATTTCTATTTAGACTAGGATTTCTTGCATCTAATAAGAGACAACCCCAGTCATACTAGAAGGGACAACTGTTGGTGACGGCTTTTGTTTACCCCCAAAACCAATTCTCTCCGCTTCAGTAATGGTCTTCCTTGCTCCTAGGTCTAATGCAATGACATAACCTAGTGAGGCATGTCCTTCCCCTCCTAATGGCACCACACTTGGGGCAAACCTGTGTATTTTAGAATTATGGATAAATCTTTTTTATTCATAATCTCTCCTCGTGTTATAATTTCACTCTACCTATCATATCACAGAAAAGGAGCTCTATTCTATTTAGACTTGGGTTTCACTGAACTAGGAGCAACTACCAGAAGATTCATAATCACACACTACCTCTTTCTGTAGCAAGCACAGAGGAATAAGAAGTTGCAGACAGAGAATGCCAACAGCACATGTGCCTCTTTTGTCTTCTGACTCCTGCCCAACTCACAACCCTAAACTGAGTAGCAAATCTGAATGAGCACAAATCTACGATTAAGCACTCAGGAGTCAAAGAAGAAAAGGAGGCCTCATACCTTAATGCACTATCACGCCCACCAATAATCAATTACCTGCAGGCATAGAGCATATTGGACATGAAGGTCACTGGGTTGGTACTTCTTGATGTGTCCATTACATAAATGACAATCGTCGGAAATGAGGATGCCTAAAGTCACAAAATAATCAAAGCTTTAGCCAGAGGGCTCATGATTTGTCCCCAAACTTTTCCTACCTTCTTTAGCAAGGGAGAACCACTTTAGGCAGGGTGTACAGAGCTTCTATAACTCCCTTCCACACAAGGTCCCCAGCAATAAAAAGATGCCTCACCAGGCTAGCTCTCAGTTACAAGTCCTACAGTACTCACCAGGGCCTCAGTGATGATTGTCCCAGAGGCTGACCAGGTGAATACTTCAATCTGCCCAGGTGTGTCAATCAAGACATACCTGTGTCAAGGAAAACCATTAAAGAAGTATTACACTTGCGCAATGCTGAAAATATTCCATTACACAAAACACCAAACTTCTAGTTTTCCAAGACTGGAATAACTTCTTCACATTGCCAAGTCTACCTTCCTCCTATTGCCTTTAAAATGCATACCACATTCCCCCGGGCTTTGTTCAATGTCCACTACTCATGCTAATGGAGAAGAGCAGCAGTACATAAGTTGCTGCAAATGATCACAGGGGACACTGAGATAGTTACAGAAACACATTGCATTATAAACGAGTAAGCCAAACCAGAATGTAAATCTCTTGGGAAACTATCCGGTTGCTTACGGGTGGGGTGGGGAAGGGGGGAGGAGAGGGAGAAATGAAGGGACAGGGGAGTGATAGCTAAAGAATACAGGGTTTAGCCCAGCTGGCACGGCTCAGCAGTTGAGCATCGACCTATGATCCAGGAGACTGAGGTTTGATTCCAGGTCAGGGTGCACGCCCAGGTTGCGGGTTCGATCCCCAGCAGGGGGCATGTGGGAGGCGGCCAACAAGTGGCTCTCTCTCATCACTGATGTTTCTGTCTCTCTATCCCTCCTCTCCCTTCCTCTCTCTGAAATCAATAAAAATATATTACAAAAAAAAAAAAAATACAGGGGTTCTTCTTTAGGTGATGAAAATGATCTAAATTGATTGTGGTGATGGTTGTGCAATTCTGTGACTATACTAAAAGTCACTGAATTGTACACTTTAAATGGGTGAATTGCATGGAATGTGAATTATATCTCAATAAAGCAAATAATTTGAAGAGACACGTCTCCATATATATACCAACGGCCAATAAGTACATGAAATGATGCTCAATATCATTAATCATTGAGGGAACACAAATCAAAACCACAACTCGATACCACCTCACACCCACTAAGATGACTATAATCAAAACCAAAGGTATAACAAGTATTGACAAAGATGTGCAGAAACGAACCCTCATGCACCACTGATGGGAATGTAAAATGATGCAGCCACCAGGAGCTGGGGAAAAGAACAGGGAAGGACTGCCAACGTGCATGGGGTTTCTTTTGGGATAAGAAAAATGTTCTGAAATTAGATTGTAGGGATCAATCCACAATTTTGTGTGTATATAAAAAACCACTAAATTGTCTAACTCAAAGGAGTGCACTTTATGGTATGTGAATTTGTTATCTCAAGAAAGATATTTTTAAAAACTACCTCTAGTATGTTCCTATTTTTGTAAAACACCTTATCCCTCCATCCTTCTATCTATGTATGTATGCACAGAAATGTATGGAATGATAGTCACTGATAGTAATCATAATAACAATAGTTATTTCTAGTGGGAATCTAGTAGGTAATAATTGCATCTTCTAAATATTATGTATGGTTTGAATTCTTTTTAATGAGTATATATTATTTTTAATAAAAATAATGAATTATCTTTTTTAAAAAAGCAAACCTATTAAAAACCTATTAACAGTTAACCATGGGTAATAATATGAACAAATATTGTTTTATTTTATATTTTGATACTTTTAAAATTAAAAAACTATTATTCTCTCTGAGTTACGTAAATTATATTCATTTAAACAAGGGTTAGAAAGGTGTTTCAAAGACTTTAATGCCAACGAGTATGATTTCCCAAGAAAAAGCAGATAGAGAACTAAATTTGGACAAAGTTTCAAAATCTCTCCTAAGAAGTCATGGGCATATATCAAAGTGGTTGGGGATAGAATACTATTAAATTGAGTTCTACATTGGATAGTATCTCAATGACTTTCTTGTCTACCTTTTTTTCACTTCTAATGGTTTCATCTCAATCTAAACCCTTTCAAAACCTGACGCTATCCCAAAATCTTTCAAAAAAGCCTAGAAATGTATCAACTACAGGGTAATAAACAGGTGCTAAACTAAAATCACTTACTTAGACATGTTCTGAGCCTTCTCGATAAATTTCATCACCTAGAAGAAAAAGATGCCAATTACAACAGGATCCAATTTCAGCATAAAACCACAGGGCCCTCCCCAGGTGGCCTGCTTCATAGGTACCATCAGCGAATCTCTGTGTTCTCAGTCTTAGGACACCAAATAAACACCCACTGAACGACAGAAACACAGCCATATCACATGCACTGCAACATGCAACATCCTGGAGCACAGGGCAAGGGTCTGAGAAGCTGAAGTCACTTCTCCTGATGCTTTAGCAAATTTAATAGCCTGTCTCAAGAAGTGACATCAGGGTAAAAAATCCAATTACAAAGCACTCTTAAAACACTCTTATAGACAGTGACAGAGAAAACCTAAATGATGACAATTATTTGTCACAAGTTAAAAGCCCCATTATTTTTCTGTTCCATGCCTACTAGCTTATCTCACCCTCACCCCTCTACTCCATCCTCAGGGTAACCCTACAAGCCAATAACAGATCAAAAAACAAGCCCACGTCTCCTGGATTTCTGTTTTATTAGCTGTCCCAAATATTAAATGTAAAGTGTTCATAAAACTGATCATCCTCTCACAGCCTACTTCTCTGTCTACCAAAATGCCTACTTTCTCTATTTATATCCAGGTTGACTGCTCTTCTTTCCCAATGTTATTAAGCTAAGGCACTTAAGAGTCATAGGTTTTTACACAGCCATGACTATATAAGTAAAAACAGACATACCTGATCGAATCTGGTAGCAAAGAGATTGAGTGAGGTCACTATGCCACCATTGGGACCAAGTCCATATCTGGACAGTAAGTTGAGGATTTAAACCGCTTACAGATAAATTCAGATGATAAAATTCATACCTAGATATCATTCACACAAATAACATTATAACAGCAGTCCATTAATGGATATTGGCAAGCTAATCCTTGCCTATTATGTATCACACAGCCTTAACTTCACAGGAAACATTCAAAATCAAGGTCGTCTTCATTTATTTGTTTTAGGGATGGCCAGACAAAATGAACAAACTAAAGGGACCAAAACGTAATAGATGCATCAGGTAGTGACAGCCTGTTGGCATTAACTGTTAAGATAATCTATATAACAATCCTTACTCTGATCCTCACTAATCAAGCAACCTACTGATTATAATTAGTTTTCCCACCTAGACTTACCTAGAGGGAAAGTACACATTTCACACAGCAATGTACTAAGAGTTGATCCTACTCAACTTAGTCATTTCTGGGTTTCCCAGTCTGTAAGAGGTGGTGACCAATGGATGTAGTTTCCAAGGCAATACTACTTTCTGGGACGCAGGCATGCTACCAGCTAGCCTCTCATTATCTATGCTCTCTAATTACAACAGCCTGTAGTCTGGGAAGTTGGTAAGAAAGCTGAAACTACAAACTGGAAGAATATTTCTGATCACCTACAATACCTCTTCCCACATTCATCTTTCCTCCTCCTAATAAAATGACTTGAAGGCATTCAAATGTTTTTGCTAGTATATTTCATTCACCAGGAAATGCAAAAGCACTCTTTCAAAGCCACAAAATACACACAGAGTAACCAGCCCGAGATGAGTCAACAGGAAAGATGTAAAAAAGGATACTGTTTCATGACTTCTTTATATTTCACAGTGTCACGAATATCTGGGGGAAGAGAGGGAAGAATTAATTAGAATTTAACACACAAGAAACAATACAGCTTGAGGCTCTCCACCAATAATATCCTAAGCCAAGAGGTCTCTCAAGTCATCTCTGTTTCCTCTGAGGAAAAAATAAGTTTCTCTCTTGGCATGAGTTACTTTTCAAATTTGCTTTCTAAATTTTTAAGCCAAGATCATTGAACTGCGATAGAAAAAGCAGCAAGATTGGGAGGAAAAGAATAGAAGGGCAGAAGATGCTCTGTGCTTTCTCTACCAGCAAGAAACTGAAACTAGCCTTTTAGGGTTCTCTTGTCAGCACTCTCTTGTACTAATTTCCCCAGCTTCACATTGGTTTCTGTCCTTATAAAGGATAACTGTCAAGTAACCCATGCAGAATATCAGGCTAGGAGCTCTCAAGTTATAGTAGAGATGTTCTGAGACAAGGAGAAAAGTTTTATGCAACTTAAATACTGTCAGTAACCATATGCACAGAAAAAGGGAGCTAAATGAAGAAGAAAGGTTTATTTCTTACTAACTGCCTACTGATAACAATGGTAATACAATGATTTTTAAAAAGGAATTAATCTGACCAGTAATATCTAACTAAACCTATCTACCAGTCTATAAACCTACCTCATCAACTATTAGAATTCCATCCTTTCAGTGACAAGGTGGGTGATTTCCCCCCCTAAACTCATCCCAAAACGCTCTCTGCTTCTTAATACAAGGCCTTCATATATTAGTTTATTTGGGTTACAGGATTAAGGAGAGGATTAGCACACAGTGATAGCCTTGATCAGGCAGCCTAGATCTTATCAGGGTTCAGGACACTGGATCACATCCATTCTTAACCTTTTATAGTCACAGATTCCTCCTATGGTAACTGGGAACCTCTCCCCAAAACAATGCACATATGCATACATATGCACATTTTCCCATGTAACTGTGGGAGTGGAAGCAAAGTTCCTACAAATCAGTAAGTGAACTACCACAAAAGAACCCTTATAACTCTAACTAAACTTTGAGAAGAGAAACTAAATAAAAAGGTGTATATATCAGAGCCTGCAGAAGGGTTTATGGCCTAGAAGTGAGAGGACTGACTTTCTGTCACTTTATTTTCCCAAACACAATAGCCTGACACGCTAGGATCAGAAAGGAGAAGTTATACTGAGTGGAAAGGAAACAAATTTAGGAAAGGGAAAGAAGTAAACAAAGAGAAAATGTGAATAAGGCAGAAGCCTGTTTAGGGATTCTAACAAATCCAATGCAAATGAAAGTAGATAGTATAGGAAAAAATGAAAGCACTGAGAACTGGCAGACTGGAGGCTTTCCAAGGCACTTTATGGTACAGAATGGTACAGTTTACTCACCAATATTGGCAGGAAAGGGGACTTCATGCACAGCTGGGTCCAGATTGATCACGTAAGGTGGAGAGCCTTGGCTATGCAGGTGTCCTGTGAGCCTCTGTGGAGATACAGGGTGCGGGATGTAGTGAGACAAAGAGGGCATGATAAGAGGACAAAAAACATTTCTCTCTAACTGAAATATTTGCCTCCAACATTCAACTCTCAGTTGAAATACAATCATTCTTTATTACCACTTTAAAAGAGCCTCCCCCACTCTCCATCTCTTATTTACTTGCTCTGTGAAGGTTTTTTCTATCACCTCAAACAAACCAGTAGTTCCATGAAAGCAGGAACCTTGTCAACCTTGTCACTGTATCCCCAGTGCCTGTGTTTGAGTCAAACTGATGACAATTACCAGGCAGCAAGATCTCAAATGCTCCAGAGAATGACAGTTTTGCAGGGTTTTTTTATTTATGCATTTGAATTAACGAGGTAACATAAGGAAGAGTACGTAAAGTTAGAGAAGGAAAGGTGGGGACTGGATAATTAATATGATTGCATGCTCTCTTGAAAGAGGCATTTCAAAGGTGTGTTAACCTAGATGCACACATAAAATGAATAGGGCTTGCTTAAAGCAAATATAAACCTTTTACTAAAGAAGTTATATGCCTGGGGTGTGACTACCCACCAAGACCTGCCCAGTTAAGAATTTATGATCCATATAATCTCACTCATATATGGAGTCTAATGAACAAAATAGACTAACAAACAAAATAGAAAGAGACTCATAGTGAACAGACTGATAATTGTTAAAAGGAAGGGGGTTGCAGGGCTGAAGACGTTAAGCAAAAAACAAAGCAAAACAAAACTCAGACACAGACAACAGCAAGGTGACTACCAGAGGGGAAGGGAGGTGGGGGGAAGTAGGAGGGTAAAGGGGAGATAAACGGTGATGTAAGGAGACTTGACTTGGAGTGGTGAACACACAATACAATATACAGATGATGTGTTGTAGAACTAACTGTACACCTGCAACCTATATAGTTTTATTAACCAATGTCACCCCAATAAATTCATTGTTTTTAAAAAGAATATATGACCCAATCACCCTGTGAGGTTACTGTCGATTAGACTTACAGCACCCCTTTTTTGTCCACACCTGAAATATGATACGCGCACAGAAACACGTAATTCTTTAACAATCTACGTCGACAGCCTGTGTGCTAGCACTGTTACTTGTAAGCCTCTGCCTTCACGAAATCAGCAATCTTATCGGTATGACAACTCCTGTACAACGTGGTAAGCTGTACCAACTAGGCACCGAAGGTACGCAAAAGGGAGCCTTAGTTAACCCAGGCTAGGGTCCAAGAAGGTCTCGCCGAGTAAGGAACCGGAGTTGCTGGCAAGTCCCCGAAAGCCACGCGGCGGTCCCCTCCAACTTCTCAGAAAGACCTCCGCCTCTTCCTGGCCTTCCACCACCTCTAGCGCACACCTACTACGCCCGCGCCATGTACGTCACCTGTACAAAGGTGGTTTTCCCAGACCCCGCCATTCCCAACACCAACAGGCACACTGGGGTCCGAAGACCCCCGGAAGCCTGGGAATCAACTGCAGCCGCGGGCGCCGCCATCTTCCTCCTGGCCCCGCCCACCCTACCATAGAGACACCACTTGGCTAGAAAGACTTCCGCTCCGGTCGGGGCCGCGAAACAGACCGGAACTGGCTCGAACCTGCACGGAGAGGGAGGAGCGAGGAGCTGCCAGAGCATCTTCCTGCCCCGACCTGAATCGGGAGCCAACTAGGGACGAGCGAGGGAAGTGGAGGCGCAGGGAGGGCTGGTGGGGAGCAGACAAAAAAAAGGAGCTCACCGTTGCAGGGTTGGGCCTGGGATGGGCAAGTGTGTGGTACCCGGCAGAAGCGGACGAGTTGAGATCCTGCGGGCAGGGCTCCCACGATACGAAAAACAGTGCATTTCACTTTAGGCCCCCAAGGAGCGAGCCCCCCGAGCCGCCGGAGGAACGACTGCTGGGGCTCAAATGGACGACTTTTTAGAGTCTTATGCCATCTATTTCCCTAGCAACATCCTAAATTCTAAGATGATAAGTAAAATTACTTAATGTCAAATATAAGTAAGTACTTTAGCTTTAGGTCACCTATTACATTTTATTATATGTGCTCTTAATGATACATGAAATGCCTTCTGTAATTGATAATGTGCCATAATTTAGGCTATTTAATAGAACTGGGAATAGTATTTTAAATTAGCAGACATTTAGGATAGTTTTGTTTTTTGTACTTACGATATATTGATGGTTAGATCAGTGGTTTATTTTAATACTGAATCCTAATGGAGGAATATAACCCCCCCTTTTTTTTTTAATGTATCTTTATTGATTTCATAGAGACGAAGGGAGAGGGAGAGAGAGTTGAAACATCAATGATGAGAAAGTCGTCATTGATCGGCTAGGAGCCTGCAACCTGGCCATGTGCCCTGACGGGGAATCAAACTGGGATCTCCTGGATCCTAGGTCAATGCTAAACCGCTGAGCCACGCCTGGCCAGGCTAACCCCATATTTAACATTGCTCCTCTAAGGGAAAATATAATCAACATTATTTTCCAGAAATCGTCAGTAATGAAAACTTCAAAATAATTTTCTTGAATTTAGTTTCATTCATATGTAAAATGAATGCCTTTAAATTGGATTTGAAAAAGGACTCTCCCTCAATGTACCTTTAACTTCTAGCTTTAACAATTTTTCTGCTAAATATGTAGTTCTTTATTAAGCAAGTTTTTGTTGTTAAAAAATAAGTCTACTTGGATTATATTCATTGATTTTATTATTGTTCCAATGTATTTTCTACTTCACTTTTCTCTCATTATTTCTGCATGTCTTATTAATACTAGTACATATGCAAATAATAAAGCTGCAATTTTAATGCAGAAGATAGGACTTTAGATAACATGCAGGTACCTTAACCCAAATACTTCAATTCATGAGCTGAAAATAAAGACTGCACTTGAAAAACATGGTCTCCAAGACAAATTCGAAGCCCTATTCTCTCTGGATCCAAAAATCCTAGAAAAATATATACCTAAGGCTGCTAAGATCTTAGACCCTTACTGTTCTGTTATTAATTCCCCTCCTGCCATCGCTGGACCAATTATCTAACTCAGGAGTGGATAACTTCAGTCTCATCTCAGTTTAGTTTTCATTCCTATCATTTCAGGTAATGGATCTGGTATACTGCTTATGGCTGTCCCTTTCAGAGTGAGGCTTCTGAGAGCTTGAAGACTTTAACGGATGAATCATCTGATAAAGGTACTTGAAATCTATACCTGCAAGTGAGCAGCAGCAGGTTGGCCAACTGAGATCTCAATCTACTTTCTGCTTTTAGCAGGTGAATGAGGTCTGATTTACAATTTTAGGAACTCACTACAACCTGTTGTGTGGAGTGTATCCAAGCCAGTAAAAAACAGAAGGAAACCAATTAGGAAGCTACTGTAGTCTAGGCGAGGTGATGATGGTTCCAACTGGGATGGTAGAAATAGAAGTGAAGGCATGGAGGAGAGTAGACTATAGGGTGAAGAGATCAAAAGTTAAGATGAGGCAGAAGAAAAATTTCCAAAGTGCTCCCTTTGAAGAAAGAGGTAAGCTAAGAATATATTTTGTTGATTTTTTAAAATGATATATAGACATACAAAAATATAAAATTATAACAAACTCACTATCCACCTTAAGAAATAATACTTCCAAATTCATTTGTAGTCCTCTGGGTCCCAGAAGCACTATACTAAATTTGGTGTTTATCAATTCTGTGCATGTTTTAATATTGTGTTAATATATGTATATATACTAAAATATAAACATAACCTAAATATTTATACATACTATATATAACTACACATTTATCTTTATATATACCCATAAACAGTATTGAGCATTTTTGCATGTCTTTAAACCTTATATAAATGGTACACTTGATGAATTCTATAACTTGCTTTCTCCAGACATTATTTCTGAGATGTATTCATGATAAAAAAGCCCTAGTTGGTTTCATAGCTGTAAAATATTCTACTGTATGACTATGTCACAATTTATCCTTTCTCCTGAGGACGGACAATTAGGTTATACATTAGAATAGGCTAACAAAGAGGCCCAAGAATGTAGGTCTCAAACTCACAGACATTTATTTCTTGCTCATATAGTAGTCTGATAGATGTTCCTGGTTGGCAAGCAGCCCTTCATGGGATTGAGGGAGTCAACCACCCTCCATTTTGTGCTCTACCGTCTCCTAGAGCCCCAGCATCACCTACACCTAACCCAAGGAAGGGGAAAGCATGAAGCTTCACTCACTCAAAGTTCTAGCCTGGAAGTGACACAAATCACTTCCACTCACATCCCACTGGAGAGAAGTTAGTTGGCTACTCCTTCCATACAGGAGAAGGAGTGTAAAGGGCTGGGAAATGTAGTCTAGCCATTTGTTTTATATAACCCTGTAACTTTACAAGTTGAGAGCAGATTTTGGTGGACAGCTAGTAGTCTTCCCTACACATTGTTCCCAGTTATCTATTACAAACTATACTGCAATAATCATTCTTGCTTGTGTCTCCTGGTACACCTGGACAAGAGGAGTTTCTCTGTCTATACCTAGGAGTAAAACAGCTGAGTCTTAGGGCATATCTTTAACTTTACTATATACCGCCAAATTGTTTTCAAAGTGATTGTACTGATTCGCATTCCAAACCATGCATGAGAGTTCACTGCTCCAAAACCTAGCTATATCTGATATTGTCAAACTTAATTTTATGTTATTCTAATGAATTTTTCAAATGAAAGTTAAAAACTCAAATAGTATGATCAGGATAATCTATACTGAGTCCTGCTGCTCTCTGGCCTCAAGAAGAAAGGAAAAAAAGGTGCCCTGGCTGGTGTGGCTCAGTTGGTTGAGTGTTTTCCAGTGCACCAAAGAGTCATGGGTTCAATACCCAATCAGGGCACATACCCAAGATGCATGTTCAATCCCGGTCCAGGCACATACAGGAGGCAACTGATCAATGTTTCTCTTTTCCCCTCCCTCCCTTCCTCTCTCTCTCTCTAAAATCAACTTTTTAAAAGAAGAAGAAGGAATAAAGGCATGCCTGTAAAGGCCCTGTATGAGACTGGGCAAGTTTCCTATACTTAATTCTCTTTAATATCAAATTATTCAGTTTAGCCAGCAGAATTTTGGGTCTAAAGAACAACTGAGACAACTGCATTTGGTACTTATTTCAGACTCATTCCCATCTCTAGCCATCTTCTTGCCCCCATACACTGTATCAGCAAGAGTCAAGTAGCAGGTCAGAGTCAATGAACAACTGGAAACATCACTCTAACTCAGAGTCATTTATTTCTTTTGTCATTGCCAAACATTTCCCAAGTCTTACTCACCAGAAATTAATATAGCTTCTTCATTTCTCCTCCCTGACAATCCTCATCTACTGAAAGTACACAACTGCAAATGAAAATGTAGAGTGGATATACCATGTCCTTCACTTGTTTCAAAACAATTATCTAACAGCCCAGTAGACATTATCAGGTAGGCATGAGGTACAGAAAAAGAATTTTTCTTTCTAACTCCAGCAAAAGGCTCAGGATTAAAGACGACAGAACACATATTAAAGAGGAGAGTCAGTCCCAGACAACTCAGACAGAGGTTGGTAGAGGGAGGGATCAGGACCCAGTGGGGTGCAGCCTAACAAGTGAGGTCAAGTCCAGAAGAGAAGGGACGAGTGCCTTGGCTACCAATCTTAGTGCCATTACCAGGAACACTAGGATTCTATGTCAAAAAATCAGGAGCAATCAATCTGATATTTCTCAGTCCTCAGAACTAAAGAGGCAAAACAAACTTCAGGATGACATTGATTGTAACAACAGATGAGGCCGCCAGCCCCAGAAAGTTGAGGCAGTATTTATTTATTGCTTCTCCTACTTTCTTCTTTCCAGTCATTTTAATATTTGGGACACACTACTCCTAAGGCTGCTTTTCATGCCTGTGGGTCTAGTCAGTCACTGCTACTTAGGACAAAGCATTTCCCAGTTGAATTAGTGTAGGGAAGTTCTAGCTTTTTCACCCTAAGTCCATTTTCTTTCTTTCAATCCTAAAACCACACTGAGAGAACAGACAGCCTCCATAAAGTTTGTTTCCCAAAGAGACAGGGTAACTTATTACATGAGTGACAACATTTCTAGCTTCTAGGCTTGTTATAGCACAAATACAAAATGATTGATCAGTATGGTTTTAAAAAGTTAATTTGGAATTGTTATATAAGCTTGATGATGGAGACTAATAAATCAATGGAGCTTCCAAGAACATTCTACACCCCAAGAAGGAAAGGACAACCAGTTTTCTTAGTCTTGTACAGGGCAAGAGAGGCCTATAGTTGGCCTTAAGAGGGAGCTCTTTGGGCAAGATAAGAGAAAAACAATAGACTCCAATGAGGAAAACCTACCCAAAAGGGTTGGGGGACAGGGGTTGTCAAAATGAATAAGTAGGGAAAACAGTGAAATTTATACAGGAGGAAAGAGCTAAGAAAGTCAGAGCTTTACACAAACAGCTGAAAGAGTACATTTCTCTTCACTCAGCCCCATGACTCAGTCCTCCCAGCACAGGTCCCCATGACAACAATATCACATCCACTCTCCTAGGAGCGCTTTCACACTGACTGCCTATTTCCTTCCTCGTTTATGATTAGCCCTCGGGGGCTTTGCTTTCTGGAACTGCGCTGGCACCGGCTCCTGCTCTGGTTCTTTACAGGAGGTCGACACCAGCAGTTCCTCCTTGCTCCTCCTCTGATCTTTCCCTGCTCTAAGACTCAGCTCTGCCGACTCAGGGGGCTCCATGCCAGCCTGCTGCCGCCTTCTCAGAGACCTTCTGCTCCTGTGCTGCTGCCTCCGCTTTTCTTCTTCTTGCTGCCGCTGCTTTATCTTCATCAGCTTTTCAAAGCTTTTGGTTGTTGCTGGGTTTACAACAAACCAATCCTACAAAGGCAAAATAGAAACACTATCCAGTCAAAACATAGTGGAAAACATAAAGAGGTGTGAGAAAAAATTTTTAAAGGCATGGTTAGGGCAGAACAAAGAATTTTTTATTTTTTTATTTTGAAAATTTACAAACCTTCAGAAAAGTTATTAGTTTAATGAATACCTAGATTTACCATTGTTCATCTCTCTCCTTCCCTTTTCCTTCCTTCCTTCTTTTTGCTGAACCATTTGCAAGTTAGTTGCAGACACCATGCTACTTCATCCCTAAATACATCAGCATGTACCTGCCTAAGAACAAGGGTGTTCTTCTGCATAATTACAGTGATCACATTTCAAAATAGTTACATGGACACATTACTACTTAATATATAGTCAATATTCAAATTTCCCCATTTGTCTCAATAATGTCCTTTGAACTTGTTTCTATGCAGTATTTTAAACAGCATTAAAAATAGGTTGCTCAAAGATGCAAGAATACTAGAAAACAGAAGTACAGAGATTGCTGTGAAATAAGAATTCCAAAGGTGTAAATTCAGCCTGGTTCCCAAATGCCTGATTTAACTGGATTGAACTCCGATATCTCTGGTAACCACTCTACTTTCCTTGATAGTCCTAGCCCATAAAAAGAGACACAAAATCCACCTCTCCTGTGGTGTATGTACAGGACTCACAGGGTTAGAAAAACACTGGGAAAGCAGGATCCTCACCTCGGCATGGACAGAGTTGATGTGATACTTGACACCACTCTCTGACACAAATTCTTTCTGACATAGAAGACACTTGTATTTTCCAGCCACAAAGTTTCCCTATTTTAAAGAAAAGAGAATTATTGGCAAATTCAGGAACACATGCCTGGGCCATGTGTAGGGATTGTTATTGATGAAAAGCAAAGGTCAGAAGGAAGAAAATCCAAAACAGCAATATATTTAGGAAAAACAGCTCGGGCAGACTATCACTACTATAAATCTATCCTAATGCAATTCTACACCAAACCCTCCCACCCCCTTCAATACAACCCGAAATCCTCCTACTTTGATTATGTGGCATGTCACATTTTTCTATCTTCCCTTGTTTCTTTCACTTCACTTCCAGGTTCTCTTGGTTCCTCCCCCAAAATGATCAAACTTCTGAACTTCACTGTAGGCACCAAAGTACAATTCTTCCCACTATAATCCACTGCTGCAAAGAGCGCCTTGGAAATCCAGAATTAGAAGAGTACCATCCATAATACAAAGTTTAAGGACTCGGAAACTAAGATCAAGATGACCAACTCTTAAGCATTCCTGGACAGATCTGGTCTGGATGCCTATAACCCTCTTGTTGCCTTTAACTGAGACTTATCTCCCCTCCTGAAGCTTTGGGTTTCCATGGGGCTCATTTTGTGTGAAGAGATACTTCTAAAAGGGATTGGGAAATGGCAACAATCCCTATGGCTGGTGGGTTGTAGGGCACCCAGGTCAACATGGAAAAGATTCAGTGAGGTGAATGGCTATTAGCCTGACACCCAGGGATCCCACCTCCCATCTCCAGAGGCTGGTATAGTTCAGATGGGTTTAGAGGATCTTCACTAATCCAGATAAGTGCATATAAGTTGACACTAGAAAATTTAAGGCCCAATAAGACAAGGCAGGTCCAATGTGGGAGAAGCTCGGGTAGAAGAAGTTAAGTCCCTGGTAGGGATTCCGAACTAATATAGTTTTCTACAAATTCTTTAATTGATATGATACTTATGGCTATGTTGGCCTTTTCTGTACCTTGGACATACCCTGGCATCCCACCCAATAACACATCAAGATTCTTTGGGACATAAAAAACTAAACCAGCCTCTGAAGATAACAGAAAACAGGACAGTTAGCTGTTCACCTATACTGAATTCTCTTCTACGTCAGACTATTTCAGAAGTCATGTTAAGATAAATGGTTCAGAAAGTTACAAACCAAAGTACAAGAGCCCAGGTGAGCTTTAAGGCCAGATACACTACTGTAGACAGCCTCACAACCCTGAAAAAAAGAAGAAAAAATAACATGAAGTCTAATCAAAAGAGCATCCTTCTCTTAGCAATCTGGGTGTTGACACTGACCAACTCTACATTTGGAGAAAAAGTCCAATAAATTTTACCACAACCAAACAGGGAAAGAATTCACATGCAAGCCACAAAAACAAGAAAGGGAACCAACAAAAGGTAAAAGAAAAAGAGGTAAACAAGTTGCTTACAAAAGCTTAACATATTCCCTTCCCTGGTACTTAAAGAAGCACAGAAAATTACATGGTTAGATTTTTTTTTAATTTGCTTTCTATCTCCTATTTCCGTATATCTACTCCGCCACAAAGTAGTGCCCATACAGCCAGGTTCAAGGTGGCTGGAAACACTGCCACTCTTCCCGTAAAGAGGTAGAGTCTGTGTACCCTCTCCTTGAATCTGGGTCAGCTCTGTGATTCCTTTGAACCAACAGAATGCCAAGGAAAGATGCTGAACAAATTCTAAAACTAGGCCTTAAGAGATCTTCAGCCTCTGCTTTCATGTTCTTGGGATACTCTCTGAAATCTCAATCACCATGTACCCTGCTGGTAATCTAACTATCTGCTGGAGAGAGAGGCCAGGGGGAGAGCCAAGCTCCCAGCTCAATTAGCTGTACAGAAGCCATCTTGGACATTCAAGTGGCATCTGAGTTTCCAGCTGAATGCAACCTATGAGTGATCCCAGCTGATGCCATGTACAGCAGGAGAACTATCCTGAGCCCTGACAAAATTATTTACAAAATTGTAAACAAATGAAATAATTGTTGTTGTAGGCCACTAAGGTTCAGGTGCTTTGTCACAAAGGAACAAATAACTGAAATAACGGCAGATGCCTCATAAAGATTTACTGAGTAAATGAATGAGAAAGAACCACCTGGTTAGGACACTGAATGCGATGATACTTCTTAATATCTGACTTCCATTTGTGTAGTACTTCTTGGCTGAAGGTAGGTAGCCCAGGGCGAGTGTATTTTAACTACAAGACAAGAAAGATTTTATTGAAGGAATCCAACTTCCAACACACCCCAAAAGTTTCACACCCAACCCTTCAGGTTATGTAATTCTGGAGTTCCACAAGTATATTTTCATATACCAAAAAAATTGTACTACGTGAGACCCTTTAAAGTTCCTTAAACTGGTAAATATAATCATCTATTGTTTAGTCTTAGAATAGTTTCATTTTTAACAGAAGGCAGGAGACTTTCAGGTATAATACTTCATCTACAGTTAGGGGGGTAAAAAAGCTAGTGACAAAGCATTACACAGTTAAAATATCTGTTACAAAAAAGAGAGACGGAGATACAAAAATTCACTAAAAATAATATAAGTACATATATACACATATAGTCAATAGAAATATATGTAGATGGATAAATGGATAGAAGGCTATAAATCAAATTGTTAATAGTGCCCTGGCCTGTATGACTCAGTTGGTTGAGTCACAGGAGCTGATACTGTCAAACTGAAGTTTATGTTATTCTAATGAATCTTTAAAATAAAACTTAAAAACTCAAATAGTATGATCAGGATAGTCTGTACTGAGTCCTGCAAAAAACTAACTCGGGAATTTAGGTGCCTTCTGGGAATAGTTCAAAATTAAGAGGCTTAAGGAGCTTCTGAAACATACTGTTTCTCTAGGACCTACATGAATCAAAATACTAGAGCTGGATAAGATATACTCCATCTCTAAGGATAAAGAAGAAAAATATTATTTATCATGTACTCAAGTGCATTTACTTTTCTGTATGTAATAAGCACCGTATCAGACATAATCCTTCAAAATTAACACAAGTTTCTACCTTACCTTCCGATCATCAGGTATCAGGTCCTGAAGAACCTTCCTCTTAGGCCATTCCTTGGCCAGTTCCACAGAGGCCAGTTCCTGCAGGTGATATACAGCTATCTTGGCAGAACGCCTCTGAACTCGGCCCCCACTCTTTGACTCCAGGCTCATCTCTTTTAAGCACTCTGGCTGTCCTGACTCTGGAAAGATCTGCAAAAATGAAGCATAGCCTTTAGAAGCTGAGAACAACTCCTGGCCTATAGCAAGCATGGAAATGAGGTCCCACAACTGCATGAAACTGAATTCTTGAACAATCTTAAAGAGCCCAGAAACAGATTCTCCCCTCAAGCCTCCAGAAAGGCATGGCCCTAATTAAACTCTGATTCCAACCTGGTGAGGCTCTACGCAGGATAGCCAGGTAAACCAACTGTACCTGGACTTCTGGCCTGATGAACTGTGAGATAACATAGTTGTGTTGTTTAAGCCAATAGTTTTGCGGTGATATTTTTTACAGCAGCAACAAAAAATTATACATTGGGTTGGGCAAAAATATCTTAGATACAACAACAAAAGCATTATCCATAAAAGAAAAAAAAGATAAATTGAACTTGATCAAAATAAGAATTCTGCTCTTTAAAGAACAACATAAAAAAATGAAAAGACACTACAGACTGGGCAAAAATATTTGCAAAACATATCTGATAAAGGACTTGTGTCCAGAATATGTAAAAACTCTGAATATGTTCAAAACTTAATGGTAAGACAACAAAAACTCCAATAAAGAAATGAGCAAAGGATTTTAACAGACACTTCACAAATGAAGACACTTCACTAAAGACTAACGTTGCCAATAAGCACATGAAAAGGTGGTCATCAACATCACTAATCATCAGGGAAATGCAAATTTAAACAACAATAAAATACCATTACATACCTATCAAAATGGATTTTTTAAATGAAACTGACAATAGCAAGTGCTGAGAAGGATGCAAAGCAACTGGAATTCTCATCCTTCACTGGTGAGAAGACAAAATGGCACAGCCACATTGGAAAACAGTTTGGCAGTTACTTATAAAGCGAGACATACATTTATCATATCCCATATCCTAGTAATCCCATTCCTAAGTATTTACCCAAGAGAAATTAAAACATTTTCATTCAAAACTTTTAAGTGAATGTTTATAGCATCTTTATTCATAATTGCCCCAAAATGGAAATAACCAAACATTCTTCAACTGGTAAATGGATGAACAAATTGTGAGGCATGCATATAATGGAATCCTAGACAGAAATGAAAAGGAATAAACCTAATGGTGTATGCTAACACATATATGAATCTCAAATGCATTATGCTAAGTGAAAGAAGCCAGACTCAAAAGTTTACATACTACACTATTCCACTTACAAGACATTCTAAAAAAAAGCAAAACTATAAAGACTGAAAATAGATCAGTGGTTGCCAGGGGTTGGGAATGGTGAGAAGAACTGATTACAAAGGGAATTAGGAGTATTATCAAATTGTTCTACATCTTGATTATGGTGGTGGTTACATGACTGTAGTAACTGTGAAAACTTTTATAACTATATACCAAAGGGTGAATATTCATTACCATATGTAAATTATATCTTGAAACTTAACTCTAAAGAACATGAGGTCGGGGGAATGTAGAAATGCAATTGGGGGGGGGAGGCAGGAGAAAAAAAATTGTAATACAGAAAACTGCTGGACAGAGTCCTGCAAAATTTCTAGCTAAGGGGGAATGCCTTAAGCTTTAAAAATATAATAATGAGTTTACTTCTACCAGACTGTACAATGAACTTTGATTTCTCTAAGCTAAGAATGTTCAAAAGGAAGAACAAGGAAGAGGGAACAAAAGCATTCAAAATTAAACAGAGATACAAGTGAGAACCAAGGATATCTGAGATGTAGCGCTAAGCAGCTACCACAGAATATATCCCCAAACAGGGTCTGGAAAGTAATCAGTACTCACAGGCCCATGCTCTGACCTCAGGTGATACGCAAGTCCAGCCTTCGATCTATATGGCTTTCCACAGTGGTGACACTTCAGGGTCATCTCCTCCAGCTCCGCAGCCCCTTTGCCACATTTTCTGACATGGTACAGATATCCCATGATGCTGGTGAAGCTACTAGAGCAACTCTAAACACAGGAGAGAAACCTAAACTATAGTCTTACATCTTTTGACATGATCTCTAAATTTCTATACAGCCACAAGGTATTCAACCACCACTCCACACAAATAGACCCTCTGATATCACTAGTCCCTCTCCAACATTTCCCATTGGCACAACCCCTCTTGTCCTTGGCTCAACGGCTATTCTGTCTACCACCAAGCATCACATTCAATGTTTAATCAATATTCAATAAACTAGGACTGGGCACCTCTTCTGTGTCAGAGCTTCCCCCCTAGTCTATGATCCAACTCCACCCCAATATCAAATACCCAGCAATATCAAAGTTCCTCAAGGTGAGGTTATAAGGATCCTCTTCATCACACCAAAGAAAGGATGGTAAACAAACCCCTTCAAACAAAAAATAAGGGGAGAAAACTAAATTTCTGAAGCCGAGAAAGAAAACAAAGACCTATTAATGAGTTCAGAAGACCTGGAAAAGTGGAGCCACTCTTATGCGGTAAGATGATACAGAACCAGGTCCAAAGAAAGGAGGAGAAATGGAAGAGAGTAACAGAAAGACATGGACCTAAGACTCCAGGCAGAAGGAGTGGCTGTCCTTGGGTTCTTACCTCACGCATGCACCTGAGCTTTCCCAGTCTCTTTAGAACTGTTCGGAGCCGTTCCCTCTCACTTGGCTCACCTATTTCATCTCCAGCCTTCAAAATGGGCTAGAAAGCAAGAGAAGCAAACAAGCAGATAATTCATGGAAAAGACAGATACAGAAAAAAATTATATCATAGAAGAATCAAGGACTACACTAGCACCTAAGCTGATGCCCATGACGTCTAAGTTATCTGACTCCTGGCTCTCTGTCTCCTAGACAGACAAGGCAGTGAATGTAATGGAAATTAGAGTTCTAAGCCTCTACCTCCCAGGCTATGAACCTTTGGGACTAACCTAAACACACAAATACCTACGTATCCACCACAAAGTTTTCATTGTACATAAGTCTTCAATTGAAAGGGTCTTCTTATTCACCCTATAAAGTCCCAGAGCCTTAGCCATCTCCACTGAGTTATATATACTCATCTAAGACAGCCAAACACCACGTAGGCTCATATAGGACAGAAGACACTCTTACCAAACTATTATGATTTGCCATGACGTGATACTTCATCCCTGCCAGTGAACGAAGTTGTTTCCCACAATGATGGCAAGTAAACATTTCCTACAGAGAAAAAATACTGCTCAGTGCCAGACTATTCAACAGAGAAATAAAACATCACAAAGTCCCATTCAAATGCTCTTGTCTGATTCTCCTTTATTTCCCAAACTCAACAATCAGTGAATCTCAAAATCCCACAAGCTCAGTGTCACATCCTCAAGGGCAAAGAAGTAAAAGGCAATTCACTTCTTAAAAAATAGAAAGTACCATTTACTAAGTACCAATATTTGCCAAGTAATGGGGTGAGAACTTAGCATGTTTTCTTTCTTATCCTCTCATAGAGTACGCAAAGTAGTAATTATTTTATCTCTATTTTATAAATGAGGAAACCGAGGCTCAAACATAAAAAGCTAAATGATTCAACTAGTAAGTGGCTGAGTGAAGATTCAAACCCAAGTCTGTCACACTCCAAAGCCTATGTTTTCCCTACGACACAATGGTGCCTCTTCTCCACAGTAATCAGCATATCCAACACAGTGCCAGATGTCTAAAGTTTGGGTAAAAGATCATAATATAAGTCACAAAATGCCACAAAACATCTAACCTGTTTGCAGTTTTCCATGTGTTTCTTTAAGCCCTCTATGGTCTTTCTCCCCACTGCCTGGCAGGTAGGACAGGAGACACTGCCTTTATCCACAATTTCTAAGTACCACTGCTCCTCTAAACTGCCTACAAAGAAGATAAAAGAACATGATATAATCTGTAGTACTGTCCAGAAACAAAAAGCACAATTCTAGAACTTAGGAAAAGTATCACAAAATGGTTTTCCCCTTCCTGGGGAAGAGAGACTCCTGCTGTGTATAACTTCTAGAAACAATTTTTTTCAGACAGTGAGGAGTTTCTGACACTTCTACTCAGTTCCCCATGATAGAAAACATCTAAGAAACATCCAAATCCCAATAGCTTAAAGAACTAGGCAACATATTTTTCCAGCTTTATTGAAGAATGACTGACAACAGGCAACATTTTATAAAGCAGCACATAGTAGCAGGATACTGAGATATGGAAGAGCCAGTATGCTGAATGTTTCCTATGTGCCAGAGACTTTGTTAAATGTTTTATCTCATTTAATTTTCACAATTCTGACTGCCTTTATTATCCCTGTTTAGAGACAGGGAAATTGAAGCTTGCAGAGATTAAATAAATTGAGGCAGATGGGAAAATGAGTGAAAAGCCAAAACTTGGACAAGGGTCTGTCTAACCTTCAAACCCATGCTGTTAGTACCTGCCCTCCTTAAAGAAACGCTTTTCTCCATCATTCCTTTACCAGCAATAACAACCACAATCAGAATGAGAGAACTGGATCCCACAAAGCTTCCAACAGAAAGCATACCTGCTGCATAAGCTGGTGGTTCCTTCCGAATACGACGAGCCTGGGATTTGGGATTAGGCTGAGTTTTAGGCCGTTGCTTCCTCCCTGACGCAAGACAGAAACTTGAAGCCCAACGTATCACCTTAGCTAACCCCTCTCTAGCACCAAAATCTCTTCCCTCCTCTTCTCAACACCCTACACCCCAGTCCCTTAACCAACTCACTCCCTTAAATCATGACAGGAGGAGGGTAAAATAAGGCAGGATGGAGGCCATGCCTTGCCAAAAAATTCCAAGGGCTCAAAAGTGCTTTAAGAGCCAAACCATAAGGTCTCTCTCCCTCAAAGAACAAAGCCCAGGCACCCAGGGAAAAAAGAATTAGCAAAGTTACTCCCTTACCATACAGCTTATGCTTTTTCTGAGGAAATTCTCGATAATCTTCATCTT